AAGTTGAGAATTAAAAATATATGACTCTAATATACAGGGTGTATATATAACAGAAAGATGATATATTATATTGTAAATATTTAAAAAGTACAAGTCCCAATTATTAACATATTAATATTGGATTAGATATCAATTTATTTATCAGTTTATAGTCATTAGGCACAATAATATGCAAAACAATGTATGTTAGTTTATAAGTCAGATTTATGTAGGGCTATCACTAAAATTGTCTGCAATAAGCAGCTATACATGTAATTATAGGTTAATGTGCGTTTGGACTTACGCGTAGAAAGCACTAATGCGAACTAAAGTCTGCTTACGGGAGTGCGACCGTTCGGGAAGTAATTACAGTGCGATTTGTGACACTGGAGAGACTCATCACGATGGAGAGACTCATGTTCCACTGTGGGAGGTACAGCCACACGTCCATAGTCGATGGAGGACTAGACAGCTACATCAAGAAGATAGGAGCAGAAGAATGCTGAAATATACACCGCTACCGATCGATACAACTCTACGAGAAGACGACAACGAAATCCACCTACGAGAAGGAGTAACATGCTCATTCATCAACGGCTGTTGCTTGGACTCTACAATAGGCGAAATAACTTGGAAAAACAATACAAAGACAACAGTTGTGAAAGTCAATTGTCACAACTTTACAGAGGGCACGTTGAAAGATCACTAATAAACAATCACTAGAAGAATTGGTACTAGTAGAACAAGATAAAAACATATTTGCTCTAATGCTACACAAAAGGGCTATAATATGTAACACAGAAGTATGGCAAAACTGAACACCGCTGAACCCTAATAAATTTACTAGTAAACAACAAAATAAATCCTAGTATGAAACTCCTACCCCAAAACGTAGACCTAATGACCTACATCAATAGCAAATTCCTTTACACCGAACAATCCTACCAAAGAGAAACAGAAAAGTTATACTTAGACATAGTACTACGACGATGCCAAACAAAGAGATGCAGCAAACACATACCAGAGACCAATGTAGCAGAAGTATAATGCGACAAAGCAAAGCAGTATCAACCTGAGACGACCACCCAGCAAGGACAGACCAATGGAGGCAGACAGCAGCAGTAACGCATCAATATAGTTAACTCGACACGTGGAATTGGCAAACGGACATTAAAACAGCCAAGACGACGCGAGTGAAGTGCGGACAATTCCCTCAGGGATACGCGATAAAGTGAACGCAAACGCGAGTACAATCGTATAGAACAGTAGAATACGCTTGTCGTAATGGACACATGTAATCACAAACAATTGTAATAAGTTAGGAAAGTCTTTCACTTGTTAAGTTTCAATAAGATTAATACAAGATTAACTCAATTTGTCATACACATAGGTTCAATACGGGGGCAGCACGATACATTCGCTGACCACGGTACAATAGTCTATAAGAAACAGTAAATGATAAAATATAAATTGGGACTTTATAAAATATAAAAAAAATATATATAGTAGATTATAAGTAATATAAATATGTAAGTAGAATAATTTATTGTTGGAAAAGGAAAAGGCCCTCGGCCCTTTTCTTTTTTTGCGTAGGGAGTAATGTAATGTGAGCGTAGCAAGTGAGTGAGAAGTTGGCATAAAGGAAGTAGCATAGAAAAAGATAATAATTATTCGAGATAATTATTATATATTCCAAATCAAATAAGGGATAATTATTACAGTAAAACTTGCATTTTAAATCACACAAAGAAATTGACCTAGTTATTGCATTGTTTGTTAATTGTTTAAACATAGAAAAGCACGTCAAACAAAAAAACTGTTATTGTAATGCAATATAGGACCCACAATTCAACGAAAACACGACCTTGGCACTATAACCGGTATTGAAAACATGAGCTCGATAAAAAACTGGAAAACGGGGACAGCCAAGTCAGTAGTCAGTCAGTAGTAGTGAGACGGCGGGCGTCCAGGCATCAATTGCCGCCCCGGATACTCTCGACGCGGTAGCGTCGGGTACGAGTAGCTAGTAGTGGGCAGTCAGTAATAGCGGGCCACCGTGACTGGGACGCGACAGCGTCCCGTACGCGAACAGTACGAGACAATCGGTGATTCTCCGGGGGCCGCGTATCATCTGACATAGTATCGCGTGTAGTCCGGTTATTGTGGCAGCTCGAAAGTTCGCAACCCTCAACTGACCGAGTTCCAGAAGACTGAACGTGTCGTGGTTGAAGCCCTAATATACACATAAGGTAACAGATTTCTTATACTAACCTGTGTAATTATATTAGTACCTCTGTCAACTCTTCACTATCTTGCTACATCGTCTCCCGACGCGCAGAATAACGTGTTAACGATTGTATTAGTAACTTCAGGGTAGATTCAATATATTGTTGACTCTAATTTGGTTTTTTTTTAATGTTCCTTTCGTCCGACTCACTAGAGACTAGGAGAACACGAGATTCTGCGTATGCATATCTCCGGCTTCAAAAGTAAGCCCATAACCTCTACTCTTTACAGGACCTGAGGCCTAGGAGTCCTTACCCCTATCCCGAAATCCCTTATCTTCTCGTAAATCCACGAAGACGAGCCAGCCCTCCAGACCAGTGTGACCAGTATTCCTTGCAGCCGCTCGCAGGGTTAGCATCCCTTGAGGATCTATTGTGTATTTCATTTGGTGACAGCGTTTTCCTTACCTTCACATAACGCTCCCATACTTATTATTTTACACCAGTTCTTCTTCTTAGAGTGCCATATCCCTACGGAACGTCGGCGACTACCATGCTTATAATATTGTTATACTGATCTCGGTCTTGCGCTATATGTAAAACACACCAAACCCATTGACCTACTTACTAGACATGAATTAGATCAGCAAGATATCAATTTTATTAAAAATTTGTATTAGAAACAAAGTCAAAATAGGCGAAAACCTGTCCAGCAGTATTCCCATAACACAAGAAGTGCACCAGGGGTGTGTTCTCATCGCCCCTTCTCTTCAACCTTTATTCTGAAGGAGTGTTCCAAAGCTCACTGGAAAACATCCCAGAAGGCATTAAAGTTAACGGAAGGCTGATCAACAACATAAGATATACCGATAATACTGCCATCCTGGCGAACTCCGCGGAAGAGCTTCAACGACTCCTAGACGAAGTAGCAGAATCGTCAATAAGTCTAAATACCTTGGCTAATGGATAACCAAAGATATGCACCCGGAGATTTAAATCCGAGCTCGAATTAATAATACTTAAGATCTTAAAATGAAATACCTTTTTCCTAACTCTTTCACTGGTTACTAGGTATCAATACGTGAAAACACACATATATTCTATTCTATTATATGGGACAGAGGCATGGACAATGAACCTAACTTCTATGAGAAGGTTGGAGGCCTTCGGCATGTTGGTGTTTAGAAGACTCCTGAAAATACCATGGACAGACCATGTAACTAACGAGGCAGTATTTATGGGGGCCATGGCAGAAAACTGCTTAACAATATCAAGAAGCGAAAACCATTTATCTAAGACATGTGTACCGGGGAAGACATATCAGTACTTGAGGTTGTTGATGGAGAGGAAAATTGAAGGAAGCAGAGGTCCAGGTAGTAGATGTTCATGGTTGAAAAACATCAGAGAGTAGACGGGTCTTGATGCTCAATCCTTATTAAAAGCCACAAAGAATAAAGAAATATTTATTAAACTTGTTGCTGGCCTTCAGAAATGACGCTATGTGCTAATTATACTTATTCCATTTTCTTTCAGCCAATTACTTCTGCTTATACTACAAAAAGATTTTGCTGCTATGATTAGAACACAATAGACTATAAATTTTACTATACTAAGATTTTTCGGTACATAAGAGGGTTATCTTTTTACTTGGGATGGTTTAACAGTTAGATGTTTTGAAGCTCCAAAAACTCTATAGTCTTTTGGGCATTCTAAGCCCTTGTATTGTCCTGATGTAGGATGATTTGCCGTTGTACGTATAAACAACGAATCACGTTTATTGGTTTTCTTCATCGTGAAACACCCACCCAGCGGATTGGCGTTTATTTTCCGGTTCGTAGTAGTAAATCCAAGATTCATCGCCACTAATAATACTATAAACGTTTTTAAGTTTCCTTTTTTAAACCGTTCCAATCTAATGTTTGTCGACACCAATTAACGAGAACTGCTTGTTGCTCTTCTGTGAGCAAATGGGGGATCCAACGGGAAACCAACTTCGTAACTCCCAGTTCTTCATGTAAGATCTTTTGGATTGAGGTCTTTGAAATGACCAAAGATTTCTCTATCTCCCGCTATGTTACACGGCAGTCATCCTTAATTAGCTGACGAACCGCATCAATATTTTGCTGCGTGACTGCTGTTTTGGGCGGACCTGACCTGGATTCGTCACTGAGATTCGAGCGACCATGTTGAAATAGTTGACTGGTGTGATGCTTCATTGACTTCATTCCCAAAACACAGAAACCATTTCATCGAGACATTGCTGTTGGGATAATCCTCTCCGGAAATTATAAAAAATTATTGCTCGAATATGTTATCGGCTAAGATCCATTTTTTAACCGACTTGCTAATTTCAAAAATTCACTGTATCTACACGGCTTGTTGTATCGCAATGACACTCTCGATTTATGTAAACCAAAGATTGAGGTTACATTTGTGTCGAAAAGTTTTATTGGTGGCGCCCTCTAAGCGACTATATGCAAAACTAAAAGGCAAAGTCCGTACCTACTTAATCTTTTTGATGCAGCTGTATCCATGTATATTTAATTCAATATCATCAATGTAGTTTTTTGTGAAACGAAAATATTAGATCTTTTGTGAATCCCATTATTTTGTATTTATGTATCTTTTTAATGATCTATGGCTGTTATTTGTTAAGGGATAACCTGATAACATAAAAAACAAATACCCAATTATTAATTAAAGAAAATTTAAATTAAACTTAATTAAACGGGTGAGGAAATTAAACGCGATGAGTATACTACCATCTTCTCCATATACTGATAATGATTATCTTACCATTTTTACACAAATAACCAATGGTGGAAGTGCATCTTTAAAATGCACGATTTCAATCATTTTTTTCTTTCCTTTACGATCATTAGGATTATATGGTATATAAGGTTTACCAATTTTATTACCGTCTACATCACAGAAAGCTACTACTTTTGCTTGATTTTCCTTCGATAAAGAGTTGTACAGTTTCTTGCCTTGCTTACCAGCATTCCAAATGGTAAACTGTGGCCAGTCACTTAAAATTTCCTTTTGTAACCTATCTACTCGTAAGTTCCAGATGGTGTCCCTAGTTAAAAAAAAACAGGTTAAAATTGATCAGACTAAAGTTATTTAGTATTTTATAGCATGTCATGAGATATTTAGTATATCTCTATTTTGAAATATGCAAGAGTTCTTTCTTTATTACAAACAAAAGTTTCCTTGGTTTCTTTAACCCTAACGATAAACAGTTAATGCAAATACTTAGGTATAAAATTGTACACTAAAAACTTCGCTGGATTATTATGTTTTAACTAAATCTTTTCAAAAGCTGGTATAAAATATAAAAAAAAAACATTGACTGATTGGAAGAAAGAGCACATTCTGTATACTTTCTCTGTATACAATGGCAGGTTTCTAATGTCTTGAATATACAGACGACCTGGCAATTGGCATTAAAGACCAGGACGTTTTGTCAAAACAATTTCGGGGCAAGTACCTTTCGCCTTGGTGTAAGGGTGAGGGCCTAATACTCAACCCCAAACAAAAAACAGCAGATTTCTTTACTAAAAGAAGAGCCCTACAAGGACTGCTTCCACCAGTACTCAGGACGGTTAAGATTGTCGTAAGACAGTTATAATTCAGACCAAATACTTAGGAATAATACTTGATCTGAAGCGACGTGGAATCCACATATTTGAAAGATTATACAGAAAGCTGCTAGGCTCACTTGGAAAATGTATGCGATTTTCTCCAAAAATGGACGTTAAACCCAAAACTTAACCTATAGTTATACACGAGGGTAATAAGGATCATGATAGTCTATGGTTTCATGATCCTTGAAAGCTTCCATGCTTAACTGTTAAGGGAGTTATGAGAATTGCCCCAATGTATACGCTGGAAGTTCTACTGAACCACTTTTGTGCGTATATGTGCAGGGAGGAGCCAGGTCTATAGTATACGTCTGCTACAGGGTTAGATTCCTCTGAACTTTTGCATGAAGTAAGATATTATCAGGACATAAAGGCAGATCCCGCTTTAGGAATTCCAGTGGCGCGAATAGTTCTGATACATAACTTAAACATTTTCAAATTTTAACCAAAAAGAGAATTCTGGGAAAAGAGACCAGTCAATAAACCTAGTTTCGTACAAGTTGACTCAAACTTGTGTGTAACTGAATGTCCTTACTCGGGTATGAAGTTAAAGTGGGTTTAAACTAGCCTGGGTACCAACAAATAAGGGCTACCGAGCAGAAGACTGATGAACCGACCCAAGAAAGAGCATTCACTAAATGACCTGGATCCTTTTTTTTGGATTTTTCTTCAAATTTCTAATATACAGAAAAGGGCAGCCACTGATAAATGTAGGCTAAAGAGTTTATCAAAAGACATTCAACCAAATTTACGAACAGACCTATTAAGCCCCAGCGAAAGGTAATTAGGACAATACTGGGACTACTGACTGGACACTGTATGTTCAAAAAGCATTAGAGAGTTTGACAAAAGACACCTTTGCCGGTTCTGTCCAAAGAATGAAGAGATCGCGTTGCACTTCTTATACTACTGCGGAGGCTTTGCAAGACTGCGGTATTGAAAAACAACAGAAGCGCCAGGCTATATACAGACACCATTCTCAAGACCGTAGAATTCGGCCGAGCTAGATGAGGTGCTTGAATGACACAGTGTCACAGATAAGATAATCTGTAAAGCCTCAGAATTAGAACGAAGCAGAAAAACGTTAAGACTGCTACTGGGCCAATGACGAAAATGCTGAGTTAGTATCTTACCAAGTATCTTTATTAGTTGAAAAAAGTGGTAAGCCTCACACACCATTGCTGAAGAACTAAAGAACTGAATACGCTAAAATTATGATTTCGGCTATGTTGGGAGAAAAAGCTCAAAAGAATCGGACGTTATATCGTTATCCAACAATATAGTGAACAATAGAATTGTTTATATGCCACGAAATGTTAAAGAATAATTGATTCTTGAATGCTAAAGCAAGCAGATTTTATGGTTTTCAATTAGATGAGAGCACGGCTATTAGCAACGACGCCGGTTTGCTTGAATTTGTTCGTTACAAATACAACGACGGAATAATTGAGGATTTTGTGTTTTATAGGTCTCTGTCTTCGCATACCACAGGTCAAGCAATATTTGAAGTATTGAACGACTTTATGTCCACTCATGAAATACCGTGGGTACATGTGTGGCAGTTAGTATGGATGGTGCTCGAACATTCTTCAAGCGCGCGTGAAGATGATGAATCCATCTATTATCTGACAAGAAACCATTATTGTATGCATAGAGAAGCATTCGCTACTAAAAATATGCTTGATAAAGTAAAAACAGTGTTAGACGAAATATTGCAGGTCGTAAATTTCATTAAAGCCAGGCCTCTAAATTCCTGGCTTATAATGGTGACATATTTGGCTAATATATTCAGTGTGCTTAACGAGCTGAACTAAGTCTACAGAGAAGAGATAACATCTTCAAAGAGGATAAAATAGAACCTATGATAAAAAACTTGACCTTTGGACTAATCGTACAATTAAAAAAAACTATAATCATTTTCCTATATTGATAACGTTTTTGGAATCCTCTGGTGATATTTTTTTAACGCAAGTAGAAGAAGAAATGACTAAACACATATTTTCGGGATTATTTTCCAGAACCCGACAGAAATAAAAACTGGATTGCAGAATCTTTCAACGCAGATGTTTCAGATTTGGCTTGATAACGATACAGGAATAGTGCATTGTTTACCGGGTAGGAAAAGCTTAACATTCCTGGACGACTGTGAAGATTGCTAAGTCGAGGCGCAAGCCGAGACTTAGCAACACAGAGTCCAGGAATGTGGCTTTTCCTACGAGGTAAACATACTATTTTTCCGCAAATCGTTTAAAATTCGACAGATATTGATTGATTTAAAAAAAAATGCGATAATTTTATTCCCAAATAAATGGTGCTTTGAAATTCCTAATAAAATTACTTGGGTTACTATGGACACGTATTGAGGTTGAATTGTCAAGCTTGTCGTCATTTATGTAGAACACTAACAACTGTACGGAAATATCATTTCCTTACAGTAAGGAAATGACATTTCCTTACAGTAAGGAAGTCCTGACTTTTTCTTCACGAAATTTTGACAGGAATGTCAAAATTTCCTGGCGATTTGTGGAAAAATCAATTAATAGAAATATCATGTGATTCAGTTTTAAAACGTCGTTTCAAAGTATCTTCCTTGTTAAGTTTTTGGGTGAACATAAAATCATATAATTTATAAAGAAATGTCAGAAGAAGCGCTGAAACATTTACTGCTTTTCACATCCACATACCTCTGGATTTTCTGTTCTTGTATATCTCAAAAACAAGCTACCATTGAAATTCGATTTGAGATTACAACTCAGTAAAAATGTCAACCCAAATATAAGAAATTTAGTAGCCAAAAAGCAGCACCAACCTTTACATTAACACAATATTTTTAATTTTCATAAAATTTACTTTAATAAATGTATAACTGTGCTCTTTATTAAGGGTATCCTTAAAATTGTGCTTGATTTTTTAGGGGTCCCCGGACTAAAAAAGGTTAAGAAACGTCGCCTTAGGAAATCGTCGTTTGAATGCAGAAGTAGCCTAAGTCACAAAATGGTAATTTTACAGGAGAGCATTTTTTTGTTTTTTTTTTCTCAAAATATTATAAAATTCTTTTATCAGAAAATTGTATAACGATGTTTAAGAAGCTACTTTCCCTACAGTTCATTGCTTTCATGATAAAAGCCACGTTCTAAAAAAAGATGGACATAGAATAGTAAAGTCTCAACTGATATAGTCTATGTCCAAATTTGGACATAGAATATACTTACATGGAAGTACTTAGGCTAGTTCTGATTAATCCATAATAATAATAATCATGTCGTAGGTTAGGTAAAATTATTTTAACAATAACAGTGTACTTACTCATAAATCGTATATTGTCGGCTTTAAGGTTTAACAAATCAGTTTCTGAAATTATTAACAACTGGGCCGTGTTTTAAAAAAAAAGACAGAAAATATTATTACTACTTAAAAAATCGAACAGATGGAACAAAAAAGAAAATAAAACAAACAAATTTAACTTAAAATAATTAGGAACTGAAATTAAACAATTATGAATATTTAAACATGATTTTCTGAATCTTCGTCTGTTCTCTTTTCGTCATAAGGTAGGTTTTTAAAAAAGTCATGATATGAAATTACTTTTTTCTGGCAAAGAAATTGCAAATGGTCGTATTTCTCTTTTTCGTTAATGAAATTTGCCTCATATAGTTTGGCTTCAGTTCAATATCTTTTATATTAATTTGAAGTGTCTTTCTACTCTTTTTGCCCAGATTATTTTTTTTTAATTCAATGTCTTTAAAATTGTATTGAAAAAACATATATTTGGATAGTCTGGCCGGGTTTGTAGAATTCTTAATTTGTTACAGTGAACTTTCTCATTAGATTCATCCTTGTCCCAATTAATGGATGTTGGTCCTAGATGTTCTTTTAAATCAAATATATTTTCTTGGTCTAATTCAACGACGTTATACGGGTTGTTCCTCTTTGCAGTTCTAACAATTGTATACCATTGATGAGGAGAATAGGCTGGAATATTACGTGATGCTCTTTCAATCACACTATTCTCCCTCATTTTGTGTGTGCCCTCGTTCCAGAATGCTATGGCAAATTGTTACCTTACATAATTGAGAAATGTAATTGTGTAATGAAGATAAGTATTTATTTCTATTTTGTCCGGCACAATTGTCAGAAAAAAGTGAAAACCCATTCGTGCCTTGTACAATATTACTCTTTATAAAATTCAAAAGGCAACTACCTATTTTACAAGAGCCTCTCTTGCCTTTGGTTTTCTTACCACACATAACAATTGCATTCGTTATTATCCAGATTGAAAATAGTAAAGTTATAAGTTGATAATTTTAGCTTATAATACGTTAATCCAGGTTCCCACTTTTATACCTGAAGTAGTTGTTGTAGATCTAAAACTGCACAACAAATTTGTTGATCCTCCACAGCTCCTTTTTTCTGCATCCTTAAATTCTCTGGCTAAACTCTTGTTTTTCAAGTGCAGTTGATACATTTCTTCAGCTGCTAATTTCTCTTCAGTAGATGATTGTTGGAATCGATGACAAATATCGCACAAGTCTTTCCTTTGGCTGAAAGAATGACATATTAAAATCTGAATTAAATACAGCCCTGTCTGTACTTCCGTTGCTACTTCAGTAATGTTCCTATCGGAACAGTATTCTTTATATAAATAATGCGTTCTGGAGATGTTAAGAGATGCAGGTAAATACAAACGTATTGTGTTTTTGCTGCAATAGTGACTTTCAATTGTCTGAAAGAAATTTAAATGTTTTCGAACGGATTCTTTGACAGATTCCTTGAGTGGGGAGTTTTTGCAGGCCTTTCCTCTTCTGTCTTCGGAAATCGTACCAGTGGAACAAGTTTTATTCTTCTTCTTCAAGTGCCATCTTCGTTCCGAAGGTTGGCGATCATCGGGCTATACGTATTTTCGAAACTGCTGACCGAAACAATTCGTTGTTGCTACAGCTATACCATTCCCGTAGATTCTTTAGCCAGGAGTTTCGTCTTCTTCCTATGGACCTTTTTCCTGCTATTTTCCTTTGCATAATTATTCGAAGCAGTTCATATCTTTCGCCTCTTGTAATGTGTCCCAAGTTTTATTAAGTACAGTACAGAACATCCTGGGTACTTATACAAAAAGTATTTAAAAAGAAAATCTTACACACAGGTTCTTTGATGTTGCCCTTTATCAAAGTATAATCAAACGTGAATGTTCTGTTACTCTGTTGGTTTGGAGAAGGCGATTCTTCATTTTTCTCTAGAGCAATATTTATATTCTTTCGGTTAATTTTTGTTGTTTCTTTGCGCTAATTTTGAAACGAAATTTCATTCTACAATGACACGGATCTTTCATTTTGCGTTATGGTTGAAGTTTATTTTTCCAAGAGTTGTATTCCTTTCCGCTATTTCGAGATGTCTTTATTATATTTCTTCTCCAGGAAATCGGGTTTCTTTTTCCTTTGCGTGACTGTCTTATTGAGACTTTTTGATCAGGTTCCTGATCCAACAAAACAACTTTGGGTTCATGTTCCTCGTTATCGGAGCTATTTTAAATCGCGAATAAGCTTATGTCCTCAATATCTATACGTAAATTTATGCAGAACCAGTCTATCTTCATGGTAAACTCATGCAGAACTAGTCTATGTCCGGCTAAGCGACGGAGATACGATCGGTTCACCGCGGTGCTCTTACATAGACTGATTCTGCATGAAAATTAACAACGGTACTGAACATAGGCTAGTTCGAGGTTTGATCGATATGAGCACTAGTTGTAAAGATGGACATACAATACTTCTGCACCCAATGTAATAATGCTTTTACTTTTAAAAGGACCTTAAATATCAAATTAGGCAAAAATGGACATAGGCTACTTCTGCATCCAAGCGACGAAATAAGATATTAGGATAGTTGCTACAGTTTGTAAAGATTGCGCACTTTTTATTCGCAATATACAGCAATTTTGTTTGGTGTGGATAGACGGTGTGAGTGGGGATACATATGTTTACAACTTTTAAAGTTCCCTGAGACCCATTACCATATTATTTTAAAAATTAATGTCTAATTGTTTTGAATATTTGACACTTGAATATTTTAAGTGTTAAAAAAATACTACTTAAGATAATAATACTGACAATAGTCATATATAATTTTAAACAACAATATATGTTTTAATGTTCATTATGGAAACGCGTAAACTGCTTAGCTAATATTACTCTGCAAGTTTGAAAATTATCTAAGTATATTTCTGTCAGGTTTTCTTTCACCTATAACTCTTCAGTGGTTTCTGCAATTGCCACATAAAATAGTTTCCTTTAAAGTGTTTCTAGATTGTTCAATTTTCGATCTGGTAATTAATATTTAAACATTGCCCACAAACTTAATGTAATTTGATTTTGAGCAAGTGAAATCTAAATATTTTATCAAAGATACTAATAGAATTTGATGATTGTAAATCAGTACGGGTTTTGAAGCCTTTATTTGTAATTATTGGTTTTTAGTCTACATTCATTTTCTATCGTATTTCTTTTTAGATTCTAAAATTTTTACCCCGGTGTGATTCTAACACGGATCTCCCCAAACCAAGGAAGAATCCTGGTTCCTTAACCATCAAGTATTAAATTTTACTACATGTGTTTATTAGGGAAATATAGATAATGTGAATAGTTTCACTGTATTTGTCTCTTCATCTCATAGATGTTTTATGAAAACTATCTAAGCATGTTTATCTATGACCCATTAAAACATTGATTGAAGCAATGTTTTAACATCATTAATAATAAATTAAATACGAAAACAGAAAAAATAATATCAAATAAATGTTTTCCAAAAATTAATCAATTAGTCTTTAATATAAATAAATTGTATGTAACATATGAGTTTATTTATTCTCTATTATGTGTGATGTCCAAACATTGAATCGCTTTAAGTGCAAATAGTCTCATTAGGGTTGTTTCATTTACCACTTACATATAAACATCATATATATGCCTGTGTCTAATTGACAAATTAACACACTCATTATTTCTTAATTTGAGTTTACATAACATACTTTAGGACTTACTGATGAACAGAAAAAGTAGCTTGGTCAGAATGAAATCTGTATATCAACAAACACTCATCTACTCTAACAATTTTTCCACCAAGATCAAGATGCTTATAGAAAAAAATTAAGTCTTCTGGAGTTCCTTTTCCCTTTTCCACAAATCCACCTACTCTAAAAAATTAACATTGATATTATGGTCAAATGTGTGATATTAAATATCTTACTTATCAAAATGAGCTCTGTACAAAAACCATGTAGGCATTATTACTGTAGGACCATGTGATGTGAATACTTGAAGGCTCAGTTGTTCCTGACTTAAAGAATTAGCCCATTTAGTGTAGCGAACTGTGGAATCCTCTGGCTCACGTTTAAACTGAGCACCCACAATCTAAAACTACAACAGTTAATTTCTCTGAATAAAAGACATGAACACCTCTTACTGTATCAACTGAAGAATTTACAGCAACCTGAAACTGCTTTTGAACTCGATCTGGTAACATCACATCATCCTTAAACAAAAATATTTTTTGGAATATTCTTCATATTTTATGATAGTGGCTGATGCACACAAAAACTTATATATGTAACTGCTTTTCATGCCAATTTGAAAAATTGATACTATCTGTAATGAATAACGATTCCTATGGGATCTAGCATAATTTTCGAATAGAAACTGCAGATATTTGAATGTTTCAACTTAGCTTACTTGGTTTATATACAATAAAACAATCATTTTTAAAAACAAAATCAACTCTACAATTTTTTAGAAAAGTTAATTTTTTCTTTCTTTTCATTGGGATCACTTATCTCATCATGCATAAAGTTTTTGTTCATGAATAAGAAAGCTCTAGCATTTATACAGTCATTGCACATACCATTTAAGAAAATATATACACACAAAATCCAAAAACAATGTTGTGATTCTGTTGGAGGCATTAGAGTTTTCACAATAATGTTTAACAATTTTATAGCTTTAAACTAAAAATAATATCTACTTCTAATTCCACATCCTGTTTAGATCCGACATTCTTCTTTATGATTAAAGTTCATGTGTTCTGTAATGGCTGGATTTTACAGGGACCAAGACGAAAGTTCTTGGATCAGACTAGTTGTTAATTAACAACTAGAATTTAATGTATAAATGTGAAAGATGAGCCATTATCAAAACAGTCACCACATCAAATTTTATTGGAAAAAAAAACATAGGTGCTTAAAATCATTTAATCAAGTTTAATTCTAAAGAAAAGGGTTTGTATAGAAACAGAATGTGGATATCAGTGCTGCAAAATATAAAACACTTATGAGATATGATTAAACTTCCAATTCAGAGCAATTAATAGAGTCCAGAGGGTATAATTGCCTTTAATAATATGTGCAGCAGTTGTAGGTGTAACACCAGGACATAATTCCTTATCATGGCATACAACCTAATAATATACACTGTCATAGGAGAGTGTAAAACCTTTAAAGGACCTCTTAAATCCAAATAAACTGTTGCATAACATTTTTATGCTGTTTTCTATAAAATACTAGCTACAATAAATACACTACTATATAGCTGATGAAACGGAATATAATTAGCAGTTGAAATTTCTGTAGAGTTCAAATAAGACTTGAATTTGAAAAGAAAATTATCTTCTAAGAGCCATATTTGTGCTTCACATTTCTTATATGATCTTTTCTGAAGTTATTTTAAGATTGTTAATTGAGCAAAAGACTAACTCAACAGAATATTTTTATCAAGCAATATATATAAGATTTTGTTCTCAAGTATTTAATAAACATATTATTGTTACTTATTACTGGTTATTTAGAAACTTTAAAGCTTGTTTTAATAAATTAAAAAACATTACTACATACTATATCTTGAAAGCACAGAAATCTTCCTGTACTGACTGAAACAGCTTTGTTTTTGGCAAATCCAACTGAAAATAAAATAAATTAGCATTAAAATTATGCTTAGTTAATTAGATATTAACCTCCTCCAGGATTTTCACTTATATTATTAAATAATTTTAAAGATACACCAGCTTCTTGAAAATGATCTTTCCATTTTTCCAGTAATGTTGATGTTTCATCTGTACTAGAATCATTACAGACACACACTTCCAATTGAAACTGGGTATCATCTACATTTTGCTTGAAAATGCTATGAAAACAGAGGTCTATCCATTTAGCCCCATTATAAATGGGAACTATTACACTCTACAATATAATCACATTAAAAAAGATAGATTAAACAAAATTTCACCTCTTACAATTACATCAAGTGTTTTATTCATTAAGTAGCCATTACAATATAATTTGTTTTGTTGTTCATTATTGCGAATTGCGAATGATATAAATAATAGAAAAGTAAACAAACTATTTGCTTATAAGTTATAATTAAATACCACTATCTTCTTTAAATATAGGAAGAGATATAAAATTCAAGGGTTAACAAATACAAGGACGACATACACAAAAATAAAAGAAATAATTACAATCCTGCTGTGAATCAAGTTTTAACCCTACACTGCGCAATTTTTTCTATTTTTGCAAAACTTTGAAAAATGAATAAACATAATGGGCTGATGGATGGAAAAATATTTAAAAAAATTGTGTACGTTTATTTTTTTTATATTTGACAAAAATAATAATTGATTCATAAATGCATCATGGCGTGTATAATAACTATTATGTAACCTATATATTAATCGTCAGGAAACAAGTGTGGTTTATTGTGTATGAAATATTTTAAAACAATTTTTGTCCTTATTGAAACACAAAGCCGTTGAGCACTTTTCACATAGTACAAATGTTTGTGAATGACAATTAGGTAACTTACACCTTAATCTTGTAGAATTCCATTTAGGAAAATGGCCTTCATTGTCAAGTCGAACATCTTTAGGTGGAAGCGGCATTACATTACCCCTCTTTTTCTTAGATTCAATGTCCTCTTGAACTGACGAAGGTCTTCCTCGTTTGGATCGTTCCGTTCTGCTTCCTATACTACAGAGTGTTCTTGCCAACTGGATTCTAAATTGAGCCATCTTAAGTTTCTGATCAGGGTGCACTTTTTTATAAGCTAGCCAAGCATTGATTATGCAGATATCAAGTAAATGGTAAAACAACCGCATGTACCATTTTTTGGTCCTCATTTTAATCCTATAACGGCCTATGATACTATCCAGTAAATCTACACCACCCATATGACGATTATATTCTTTCACGATTGCCGGACATTTAATTTTTATTTTCTCCTTTTGTTTTCTATCGAAACGTGATATTTCGTCTTCAGGATTAATCCCTACAAATGATGATAAGAACATCACATTTTTGTTGTCTTTCCATAAGACATTTGCTATATCTACACCATTGCAGTTAGCAACATATTCTACAGATGTTCCTCGAACAAACTTCTTTGTTTCTGCATCATTAGGTAATTTGCACAGTGGAATTCTATTTTTTCGAACCGTTCCCAACGAATGAATTCCCATGTTAGCTAAAACCGACACAACTTCGACTGAGGTGTAGTAGTTATCAAAATAAATTTTGTGGAAACAGTTTCTGGGTACTTCCCTTGTCAAACGCATGACAATGTTACCGCTTGCACCTAAATCAGGTTCACAGTTTAGTCGACGTGATGGGTCATTTTCAGTTCCAGTGTAAATTTCAAATTTATAGCAATAACCAGAAACACCACTTAAAATAAATAACTTATAACCCCATTTGTGGGGTTTCAGCGGCAAGTATTGTTTCATGTGATGTCGAGCTTTGGTTGCACAAATTTGTTCATCAATACTAAGAGACTCTTCCATAGGCAAAGATAAGAAATTTTCAGATAAGGAATCAATGACAGGCCGAATTTTATATAACTTGTCAGTGGCATTAGTAGTAGTGTTGTCGTTGAAATGTAAAAACGATCGAATTTTTTCAAAATGCTTTTGACTCATACAATTTTTAACAATGTCAATGCCTACTTCTGCACTCCAGTATGTTCTGATGTTTGTTATGTTTATTACTGACGTCAATATGCATATTCCTAAATATTTATTTAAATCGTTGGACGAAAATTCAAATGGTTTGGATGGATCCTTCTGGACACTATACTGGATAGTCTCATCAACAATTTTTTGCATAATTCTGTCATCAAAAAAATATTTAAAAAACTCATATGGAGTCTTCAATTCCTTTAAGTCATTAGAAATATCATCATTTCCTTTAAAATTAGATGGCACTTTACACATTTTTTTATTTTTCCATACTAGCTGCTTAATTTTTAAAACTTTACTTTTTTCATTTTGTATAGGTTCATGGTTTTCATTTTCGCTAAGTTCGCCCCTGTCTTGGTTATTATCAGAAGAATTCCCTTGCAAATTACCGCCTATGTCACTAACAGAAACAAATATTTCATCAACATTAGTTTCGTTCATATATTTTTCTAACATCTCATTTGTAACTGGCTTTGGAATGGTATTTGGTTCTTCATCTTCATCGCTGACGTCTTCTAATTCATCCTCACTACCACTTGGTATATTTGATATAAATTCCTGAATTTCTTCGTCATTTAAATCATCCAGTGTAATTCGTTTGGCACCCTCGGTATAAATCAAAGGCATCTGAAAGTTAAAAAAAACATCTGTTATATGCGCGCTGAGTCAAATATGAATCATTTAAAAAATGGGCATAAATAAACATCCATTTTAACCGATCATAACAAATATAGTGTGTACGTTTGCAAAATAAACCAATTAACTAACAGTAATTAAATCATACATACCTTTTCAATTTTTATGAGTGAAAACAGTAGTCAAATATTACATTCAACGGACACAAAGTAGCAGTCAATATCTGGCGCCACAGCATAAAGTATGGTTAGGTTATACGATCAGTATGTATATATTTATGTTAAGGTACGACGCTTGAATGAATCACCACGCAACGGAGCACAAAATATTTACTCTAAGTGGAGTTATGGGACAAAATTATGGTTGGTGCATTTTTGCATCATTGCGCAGTGTAGGGTTAAAGTAGTTTTTAGTTTAGTATGTAATGTAAAAAAGCTTTTAATACATATTAATATCAATTAATATTTTGAAAAGAGTGATTAGAGATGCTGATGTACAGCTTACGAGACTGAATATTTTAAAATGAGAAGAAAGTTATTGACGTTAAAGTGAAATGTCAATTTTTATGAATTAAAAAACAGTTACGGTGTTCATGTCTTGTGACGTGTCTTTGCGTGGCACTTGCGGTAAATTTTGATTGTTGTAAATGTAGATTAGTGGGGAAACCTTACTTTTCGGTGGCAAGTGGTGGCGGAAGTAACTTAACTAACATACGTTAATATAGCAGTAACATTTTTAGTAGTAAAAATATAAAAAAAAAAACAAAAAAATGGTAAAACCTGTAAGAAAAACTGCAAATAAAAATCCACCGATTTTAAGCCACGAATTTGTTATTCAAAATCATGCTGATATTGTGTCATGTATTGCTATGGTGTTTGTAGTTGGCCTTATGGTACAAGTAAGTTTATGTTTTTTAGTTTTATGAATGAAAACCAGCCTATTTCACCCAGTATATTTTGTAATATGTTTCTATTTTTGTCAGGCTACATCTCCAATTGCTTCAATATTCATAACCCTGCAGCACAATGTAACAGAAGCAGGAGAGGTGCCCCTTTATAGTCCTGGTGTTAAAGATTGGGCTTGTATATTTTTCTACACCTTGATTTGCATTGTTATCCATGCCATTATTCAAGAATACATCTTGGATGTAAGTATATTATTATTAATAATAATGACTAAAAATAATATGTGTTATTGTAGTGAACATTTATTATTGTATGTCATTTAAAGCATGACTGCAATTGCTCTTTTTACAGATTGTAAAAACTATTTTTAGGTGCATTTTAAAACAATGTTGATCAAATATGTGATTTAAGTGTTTTCATTCATGTGTCTAGTGCACAATAGAAGTTTACATATGGTTAATCATGGAAAAAGCTTTTGTTATAAAATACTGGTAGTAGAAGGTCATATATCTATAATAAAAACTACATATTTTGAATAGGACAACCAGCTAAAAAATACTTATTCAAAAAATTTTTTACTTAACACACATTTGAGTATTTTAATTAAAAAATCAGGTTCATCTACAATGTATTTACACATTGCCAATTATTTTAGACATTATTTGGTATAGTTAATGGTAGTGGTAGCTGATATTACATGCAGAGTAGAAATACAGTTCAAAACAAACATTTTCAGTAGCTGTTGTTACTCAACATACTGTAACAGAAATGATATTACAATGTTATTTGGGACCTAGGGATATGAAAATAGTGTAAAATGAAAAATGTAACTTTCAATAAAATTTCAATGGAATCAAAAAATAATTAAACTACAGCACATAGTAAGGATAATTAAAGATAATTTCTTAAAAAAAAACATGTTGACCAAAAAATTGTTCTAATCAATTACTAAAGGGTAGATAGAACTTGAGGGGTTAGTAAAGAAAGTGAAAGTATGGAAAAATATTAATGACCAAATATAATATGGAATGGATATTAGGAGAGGTATAAAAAAAAACAGTAAAGCATGTTAAATTGTTTTGAATAAAAAAAATTAGGTCAAGTATTCAATCTGATTAAATCACGCTATATTAATACTTAGTATGATTCCAAAAAACATTTTAATAGACTTTCTTGCTTATGACTATTCCAGTATCAAACTCCATACCAATTTGGGTTTTCCGCAGGTAAATCTATTGAACTTCGTTTGTTAACCTATACTGATTACTTGTCTGAAGCATTGGAAGGTGGTAAACAAGTTTATTTGTTAAAAGCCTCTGATAAAGTTAATCATGATCTTCTGCTTCATAAGCTTAGTTCTTATGGTATAAATGGCTTGATGCTGAGGTGGTTAAGAACTCAAAAGGTATGAGTAAACCATAACTACAGTTGAGTCCATGGTTCTTTACCTGTGCATCATCATTTGAAGCATACGAAATTAGTCGCAAATTTACTCCACGCAACAGCAAGTGACAGAAAGTGGCTACTCTTCCAATCATGGATTATATTGTAAAATTTGATGTTATCAAGTAAATAAACAAAATTTGGTTTAAAATTTTGGTGCAGAATTAGAGTTACATTTGAAGTAGCTTAATAAATTCTTTTAATATCAATAGTGATTAATAAATAAATAAACAATTTATAAAAAAAACTATAATTAAATATACAATAATATTTACAGTGTGTTGATGCAATAGATAAACAGTAAAATTATTTAAGGAATAAAACATTATTTACTTAGCTCAAATAATATTGTTGCAAGATTTTGAACATGTTTTTTGTTTCTCATATTTCATTTTCATCGCCTTTCAGAATCTGGAAATCCACACTATAGTTCAATTTAAAATTAGGTACATTATACTCACATCATCATATGTACCTGAAAATTAACTGGCAAATATATTGAATATTTCATCACCATTCTGAGCTATTACATCCTCACCTTTATTTCGACATTACATTAGGATAAGCACTAGACCTACATGTAGTACTAACATACCTCCAAAAAAGAGTGTGGATTACTTGAAAGATTTGCTTGAATATTCTCTAAATAGTTCTTATAACATACTGCTTGTAATGATTTTTATCTTTCCCTTAACACCAAAAATTCCTCATATGAGTTGCCTGATGCTTTAAAATTCCTTTGAGCTATTTTTTTCTGTATGACAAGCTCAATTAATTCTCGCGAAAACCAAACTGGAAAGTTTAATGATTTAAACAGTTTGATAGGAACAAACATATTGATGGCATCATATGAAATGTGGTAAAAATTTTCTAAGCAGCAATTTAAGTATATCTGATTCATCTAATACTTTGTTCCAAGGAATTGAGGCTAAATATTCATTTAAAACTTGATAATTATATTTTTTAAAATCATGATAGAAGACATTATGCTTACAATATTTTCCTAACGAGAACTTTAAGGCTAGTCAACACAGTACCAAACATAGATATATTTACCGGATCTCATAGATTTAAAAACCAATTGAGTGATTTAATTTATTGAGCTTTTTTAACTTCCTTGTTACAATTGTTGTTATATATGTATGTATTATTCAATCTATTGATTATTAAAAATTTTAACATGATTTCATTTTTTGCTGAGAAATATATTTGTGAACAAAAGCATTGGTTTTTTTAGTTCAGAAAAATTGAATAACTATTTTAAAAGCTAATTTTTTAAATTTGTCTTTCTTATTTATACCGATCATTTTGCCACATTTAATATTGTATTATAAAATTATAACCCAACTGATCCAAAACCAGTCAAAACAACGCTCCATGTGTGGAGACATGATTTATTTAGGTTGTAAACTATTTGCAAATAAAACTAGCTTTCAACCGTAATTTTAAAACAGTTGCGTCGAGGGCGCTGGACCTTAGAGTTTTAATATTTTAGAATTACCTGAAAATGTAAAATTATGTTATATTTTCATAATGCAACATTTATTTACCATTTTTATATCTACATACAATTTATAAATTTTTGCTTTAATAATAGATAACGATAACATACATTAGTATATATTTATATACAGTAGTATAATAATGAATAATTTTCTAGATGATTTCTGTGTTTGTTCTACAAATTCTCTGAAAATTTAAAATTCTGTTACATTTACATAATGAAACATTTTTCTATCTAAGGAACGATATCTACATCAAAATTACACATATTTTTCTTTCATAACAGATAACATAGTTAATTACTACAGTAATTACATTAATAAATAATTTTTTATGTTTTCACCTTTATCAGTTTTTGTTTTATAAATACTTCAGTATGAATAACACTTATTGTGTTATTTTAATTACTTGTTTACAAAATGAGCAGGTTTAACTTCATTTGTTATTTGTTAGAATGCCTGATACATGAATAATTGTCTTATTTAGATAAAGAGGCAAATCATACCTATATCTATAAACAATTTCATTGAACAATTTCTCATTTGATTTGTTTAATTAAAAGCTCTGCACAATAGTTTTGGTTGAAATCAAGAATGTAATCTGATCATTAAGAAAACATGTATTTCTATTTAAAAAATTATGGTGTATAGTATAGAAGCTGTACAATCTTTATTTTAAAATTTGTAAAATAATAAATATATTATTTATGAACTAGCTGAATTGCCAACTAAAATAGCATTTATGAACTAGCTGAATTGCCAATTAAAGTAGCATTTATGAACTAACTGAATTGCCAATTAAAATAGCATTTATGAACTAGCTGAATTGCCAACTAAAATAGCATCTATGCTATTTTATTATATAAATATTATGTGTCGCACTGTTTTAAAACTTTATATAAAAGTTGTGTTACTTCCAGTTCTAGATGTTTTGTTCAAAATGTTATTACTTACAAATTTTCAATTAAAATTATTTCTTACAATAAAATACTGCTAGTTTTAATGTATTTATTGCATTTTCATAAATATTTCTTATGGCATTTTAAAGTAATTGCTATTTAAATGGGAATAAGCCACAATTAAAGGTTAAAATATGTTTATTGACGTTTCAATTTCCACTTCGGAAATCGTTCTCAAAATACATTTATTTTTAACGATTTCCGAAGTGGAAATTGAAACGTCAATAAACGTATTTTAACCTTTATTTGTGGCTTATTCCCATTTAAATAGCAATTACTTTGTTACATGTATGTATTAATTCACGAATCTAATTTTAGAAAGTCTCCAAGAAACTCCACCTCTCCAAATCCAAGTTAGCAGTCTTCACCACCAGTGGTCAACTGACAATATTCTACTTAATATCAACTTTGTGGGGACTTGACATTATTATCAAAGAAAACTTTGTGTTTGACATATCTCGCCTGTGGGTAGATTATCCAGCCCCAATGACATTCCTGATGAAATTGTATATTATTGTACAATTGGCTTATAATGTCCATGAGCTTCCTGAACTGTATTTCCAAAGGGCTAAGAAAGAAGAATATATTGGAAAAGCCACACAAAGCTTGGCAGCTGTTTCACTCATATTTATCCCTTATTTCCTCAAGTAAGTGATCAAAATACATACTTAGTCTATTTAAAATAGCTACACAAATGAAATATTAATCTATTGTTTTATATTCATCTATATACTGAATATACAAATATGATACATTGTAATGCTATACATACTGCTATAGTTCATGCATTTATCAATTATAAATAGATGAGTTATTTATATTAAAACTTTTAGATCATTACATTTACTTTTTGTGAATTGTGAGTAATTTAGTTTAATTCAATTTGGTGATACATAATAAATATGACCGGCAGTAGTAATAGTGAACCGTATATCAAAAAGAAACGTCATAATTTAACACCCGAAGAAAAAACTATGATCAGAACTGTGTTTGAATAACTTAGAGCCAGAGAAGAAAAATATGAATGTAAGCGATGTAATTACATTATGTAAACAGATGATGAAACAAACAATAATAATAATACTTTGAAGGCTGAGACAACAGGAAGGAAACAAATCAAATTGGATAGTTTCCTATTTTCTAATTTCATAGTTTCCATATCTTGTTACATTCGCGCTCATTCAAAGTGCCACACACCCACTTTTTTGTTACAATTGGATTACAAGCTTCAAAAGAAATATATTTTTGATTGAAGATGAATACTGATTGGAAAGGACAGGTTTTCTGTTAACCCCTGTTAATATCAACGAAGTTTATGAATTAGATCGTCGAATTGGATTAAAACGAATATCTGAGACGCAGAATATTTCATAGGAATGCATTCATCATATAATTAATGTCTGAATGTTGATCAGATGCCTGCAAGGGTTCGATCTGTGATCGGTTTGAAAAATATGCAAAATTCTTAATTATGTGGTTACTATAGATAATGATTGGGTACATTTATACCACCCATAAACAAAGCAACAATTGATGGAATTGAGACACTGAGGTTCTTTGTAGGATAAGAAATTTCGTTTTCAGAAATCTTCTGGTAAAGTTCATGATTCAGTTCTATTGCTAAGGAATAATCATGAATGTTTTTCTGGATTAGGGTAGAACAATGACTGGGACACTATTTGATGTTACTGGCCTATGAGAAAAATTATGAAGAGAAGATGGGAAAAGTTTTTTAGGACTACCTGTCTTTCCTTAACTTCCTTTTCATCCTCCATGTATTAAAATACATTGGCGATTACCTCACGAGTTTAAGCGTTTAAAATATTTTTATGTAGTTTACTCTTAAACTCACATATAACTAGCTTAATACTCTACTGTCCTAATGTAGTTACCACTTGAGTAACTACTTAATAAAATTCAATCAAAGGTTCTGAAAAGCTTGAACAGCTTATTCTATTTATGACCATCCATAATTCATTCTGATTACTGCACACGATAAAAAATTTGTGGCCCATTGGGAATTATCTTACAAAAGAGCATCTTTATAATTAAAATGGATATTTTGAGAGTTTTGGACCAAAACTGATAACTATTGGCGACGTGCAAGTACTTGGATGTGATACGAGAAACGATCGTGCGCGAGTAGCGGAGAAATCTTGCATTTTTTACTGCACATTTCATAGATTTCATAAATTCATATTGTCAATTGTCATATTTCATATTCGTTTGTTTATTTACACCTGCTGTCACTGAAGAAAATGGAATTTAGTAAATGCTGTGTTATAAATTGTAAAAATACAACAAAAAATTACTACTTACTACTACCACTACTAAAGCTTTTCCCTTTGACTCAGTGCTTGGTTGAAAAGTTATTTGGTGATTTACTTTCTCAAATCCAGTTTTTATTATTGCATTCATATTAACAGTAATGCTGTAATTTAATAATATATTTATTTGTATTTATACTACATACAACGTTTACCTTTTAATAACGTACCGACATAACCTCAATCTTACTTTTTCTTCTTATTCTTTTTTGGGGCTACGTCCAACACCGACAGTTATCCGGTAACCTCGATCTAACATAAAAGCGCAGTAAATTTTGCTGATTTACGACACCAGGTGTCGCTCTTCCGAACTTGCACGGTCCCAATATACCTATTTTTTTATAGGTATCATAATGGTGCACTTCTAACGTCGAATTCAAAATACCATTATATAACCCCGGCCACGAAAGCTAACATTTCTTGTCTATATATCGTTTATATTAATTGGTGTATTAAGTTTTCATAGTTGGAAATATAAAGTAGAGGAGAGGAGGAGATTTAGAATCGCACTGTATAATAATTTATCACATACATCGTATTTATTATTTACAGCTTTTTGCTATAAGAATAAGAGATATTGTCCATCGTGGACCTAACAATAGGGCACAACCAACCCACAGTATGATATATCCTATGTTTTTGTGTTGAACTGATCATGTTTACTTTTCTTGCAGTTGATTAAACATTTGTCAGATGCTTTCGTTTTGGCCGTTAATATCAGAATCTATCTATCAAATTGATAGATAGCATCAAGGGGATGCCCTGGATTGTCTCCTATTTAACATTGCCTTGGAAAAGGCAGTCCGAGACATACGAATTAGAGACGGCGGTGCTATCAACCATAGATCGATACAAATCTTAGCATATGCTGATGACATTGACATAATAGGGTGTAGCAAGCGAGATGTTAAGCAGTATTTTTCCTAAAATTGGAAATGGCGGCGAAACCGGTCGGTCTAGTCATCAACGAAAACAAAACCAATTACATGTTGGTTACTAAGGATCCTATAGCAAATGAGGAACGGGAAACAACATTTGGAAGTCATATCTTTGAACGTGTTGACAGTTTCGCCACATTTCCGGCACCATCTTCTTACATCATCTTTACAGTTCACCCAATAGAACCGTTTGTTCTCACGATTCTCCCATGGACTCACGATTTCTCCCAAGAAATCATCATCATCATCAATGGCATTACAGCTCGTCATGAGCCAAAGCCTTCTTCAGAACAATCTTCCATTGGCCCCTGTCTCTGGCAACTCTTCTCCATGCTTTAACTTCGATGGATTTTAGATCATCCTCTATGTTATCTTGATACCTAAGTTTTGGTCTTCCTCTGGATCGTCTTCCCACTGGTCCTCTTCGGTCGAAAATTTTTCTGATCGTTGCATCTTCATCTCGCCTAATTACATGTCCTATCCATCGAAGGCGTGATAATTTAATAAATTTTACGTCAGGTTCCCCAAAACTTCTGTATAATTCAAAGTTGTAGCGCCTACGCCTGTTCTTGGACTCCTCCATATATTTTCCTTAGAATTTTTCTCTCGAAACGTCTAAGCAGTTCTTGGTCGTTCTGTGTAAGTGACCACGTTTCTGACCCGTATGTTAACACTGGCCTTATTAGTGTTTTATATATGGTAATTTTAATTTTTCTGGGTAGTTTTGGGGCCATCTGTTTCCTCAAGCCATAATAGCACTTATTTGCAAGCAGTATTCTTCTTTTAATTTCTTCGCTGACATTGTTCTCTTTGGTCAGCAGCGAGCCCAGATAGATGAAAGTGTCAATACCTTCCAGTTCCAGATGATCAATTAATAGGCTAAACTCGGATTCACCAGTAGATTTTAGCGTTGGCTCTTACGGACAATGTTAATCAAATGGAAGAAAACGCTGCAGCGTTGCTAGTTCATCGTCAGCCTCAACGTGACAGAGCCGGCTTCGAACTTAACACTCCCTTACACACGGAGCACTTGCAATTTTGCACTAACATTCACTGATTTGCCCTAATGACTGTTCCAGAAAATATTCGGACGTCGTCGTAATATAGTGCTCAACAATTGATAAGGATCATAATTATGATTTCAAATATTTTAAAAGTTTGTTGAGATCCTAGTATGATGACTTGAATAGATTAAATGAAAATAGACGACTTTAATATTCAACTTTTTGCTGACCCTAGTAAAAAATGGCCATAATGGCAAAATTTATTTTATTTTGTTTAAAATTGATAATAAAGTCGGGGTATTAATATTACTTTAATTATATTAAATTTTTACAAACTTCGGCTATTTCTGGAGTAAAATATTACTTCGATCCTTACCGATCATTCTACGGAAAATTTTACACAAATAAATGACTATTTTGAATTTATTTACCACCGATTTTACTGTTTTATAGGGGGCGACACAATATTAAACGCAGAATTGCGCGCTGTAATCAATACATTTTTTGCCCTAGAATTTTATTAGTATACATATTATAATATTTGTTCGTCTATATACACAAGGGTGTGTGTGTAATATACGTATATATAAAGTATGTATTACCTTATTAGAATACTTACAGTAATGTATATGTTTGAAATTCTCTCACTACTATATTCACCACTAGGCGGCGTATTTCCCCCTGCTAGCTATATAAATAAAAATAAAAATAAAAATAAAACGTTTATTGCCCTAATTAATATGTACATTTCAAATTTAATATTTCATTTTCTTCTGTCCGACGACCCGTTCTTGCACCGCCTGCGTCTGGAGATTTTTCCAAATGACAAATAAAGTATTATTATATTACAATAAAGTAATATTATATCACAAATTTAACAGCTTTGATGAATTATTTAATTATGATAATATATATATGCATATATATATATATATATATATATATATATATATATATATATATATATTATATATATACACCCATGTGTATATAGACGAACATATATTATAATATATGTATAATAATAAAATCATAGCGCAAAAAATATGATTACAGTGCGTAATTCTGCGTTTTATATTGTGTCGCCCCTATAAAACGGTAAAATCGATGGTAAATAAATTCAAAATAGTCATTTTTTGTGTAAAATTTTCGTAGAATTCGAATTTGTTGTCAGAAAACATCTAAAAGTTATTTGGAAGCTGAAAAACGAAGGAAAAGCGCTAAAAAAGGCAGGAAAATCGCGTTTTTTGGACTTTTATATGAGGCAGCGGCTTCAAACATATAAAAATAATTTCTGAGACAACTTTTATTCGAAATTATTTGTATTAAGGCGTCTTTTCTGAAAATTTGAAAAAAAATTAATGAGGGTGTTTTTGAGATATGAATTTTAAAAAAAAGCGCTTTGTTTCGCATTTTGTGGCTTTACATGACGTCATATGACAATTCTGACACCGGGATCGTGTTCAGCGGGAAATTTTACATTGGAAAACATTATAGTGGATATTGTTTAAGCATATTTAGAATTTTTATTCTTTTATTAGTGTAATTTTATTGTTTGGTGTATACACACTTTTCTTTGTAATAATTGTTGAGACTGTTAATAGTAATAATTGATCCAAGTTGGTATATATCCTGTCGGTATATAAATTAACAATTTAAATTTGTAGCCACTACGGAGCTACGAATTTTTTTTGTAGCAGTTTCTCTAGTAGACTCCGTTCTGTTGTTACACCTTGTATAATTTAGTAAAAAAGATTTCAAAGAAAATAGTTTTATTAAATTTTGTGTAATTTGCAAAATCTTGAAGTCGTAAATAATGTTACATTTACTTCTAATAGGATTGCATGATTTAATGTTATCGTACAGGAGGGCCAACGCGGTCCTGTATCACACCTGCAGACTATGAACGTGCCTAGTGGCCTAAGCGGCAACGTCGCTTCTCATAAGCACTGTACTGAAATCCTCTTGTGAATTTGTCTTTAGGTATCTGGTTGCTCGATCTTGTACAATACATATACTTGGTTTTCTGTACGTTTATTTTTAATCCCATCTCCATTGCTCTCAAGAAATATCCAAAGAAAAACTAAAACTATTATATACAAAACACTGCTGAGGCCGGTCCCTCCAAAAGGGGCAGAAACTATGGAATCTAACGCAGAAGGATGAAATACTTCTGGGAATATTAGTTTATAGCTTCAAAATATTTGGAGCTATAAACGATCAAGGGCAGTGGCGCAAAATATTTAATTTCGAATCATACCAACTAATTCATGAACCATAACGTTCATTAAAACACAGCAGCTTAGTTGGGCGTGACACATAATACGAATGCCTGATAACATGATTGCTAAAAAGCTAACGACAGGAACACCTATAGGAAGAAGAAGAGGCCCACCGCGAATTAGGTGGTTAGATGGAGTTGAGACCGACTTAGGGATACTAGAGATCAGAAGATGACAACATGTTGCCATAAACCGAACAGAATGGCGACTGATCTTAGAGCAGGATAGGATCCACAGAGGATTGTCTAATCAAAGATGATGATGATGATATATCAAATTGTTTAAGTTATTTTTTGATAAAATGTTAATTACGGAGTGTTTGGATTTTTTTTATTTACATTTTAAACAAAATATAAAATAAGTGCAGATTCAAGCAATATATTATGTGAATATAATGTTTTTTAATTTCGGAATCTTTATCTTTTCAGCTTCAACCGCTTACTAGTCTCTCTTTTGGTCCTTCATCACATTTCTGAATTGGTTTACCACTTTTTCCAACTGATCCAGACAGTTGACAAAGACGAAAAATTCTCCAAAGGTAAGATTTATCATTATTTACAGTATTACAACGGTTTACTGAAGAGTAGAATTCTATTTTAAAATTTACTGATGGATTCACGTTATTATTTAAATTTTATATTTTTTAGTGACCACTTTGGTATCAAACAGTTTTAAATTGGTAGCCCGCCTCGGTAGCATCATCTTGTCCATTCTTACCCTTTGGTATGGTTTGTCTCTCGGTGAACAGCGTGAGCTAGACTTTACAACTGGATACTTCAACACCCCCGTCGTCCGTATCGCTGTATTGGCTGGTATATTAGGACTTCAAATGTAAGTATTCTCTTCTATAACTTCATGTGATAATATTAAATATATTTATTTATTGGGGAATAGGTTAGGAAGAAGTAACACTTAAGAGTTTGGAATGGAGAAAATCTGTTTTAGAAGTATAAGAGAGTGATAGGCCAAAAATAATGGAATAAAATCTGAATTAAAGTACTAAAAATATGGATACTCATTTACCCATACAGATAATTCAAAAAGAAAATTAGGGAGTCTGCAAAAAAAGCAGGATCTAATTGGAATTAATCTTACTGTATAGGGGCTGCTAAAGTGGCTTCTTGAAATCCATGACCAATATTGGCTTGGTAGTGGATTGATTGGATTGATCCATTCAATACATAGAATACTTTTTTTTCTGAAAATCGTCGTACCTCAGCCAGTTGGCGTATTAATTACTTTACTTGTCCTGTTAAAATAATTAAATCTTGTCCATCCAGAAGAGACCGAACTAAATAGTCGTGTCAGTTGCGTGCAGAAGATCGTGTTCAGTGCAAGGTTCCTCCAACAAGGGACAGCTAAGTACTTAGACGTGTTAAATCTTGTACCGCCCACATTCACACAAGTTATCGGAATCTACAGGAAAGTCTCCATTTCACCATGTTAAGTACCACAACAGGTACTTAAAACTTTCCCACACTGACCCTTTCATACATTGCTGTTCTAAATGTTCTTCATTAGATTTTAGTGACCAACTTTTACTGGTTTTACTGACTATAGTTCGTCTTCAGAAGTGTGTCCTGCAAGGGGATCCAGTTCCACAGTTATCAGATGACTGAAGTTGGTTTATTTCTTTGTTCCTGGTCCATTTTTGTCCCACAAGAAGCATGAAATGGATGACGACTCCTGGCAGAGTCCTGCATGCAAATTGAACACTAGATGGATGAATCGTAGCTGTCACCTGCTACCTGGAGTTCAGCTATCTTTAGCTTGTACTTGGCTTGTGTTGTACACAGAATTAGTCACTGCTACTTAGCATGAAGAGCTCGTCCACCACGAATATGTTTGATGGCTATCAGAGCTTAGCTTTTCTGTTTGCTTATGTGCCCTGACGCCTTGAACTAATGAGATTGCAAATGATTAATCATCTGCATATGATTAATATTTAACTTAGAGTTGTATTATATCAATGAGAGCTGGGATCCAACCGCAGAAATTAAAAGCTGAATATAACAAGCCCGAGCTGCCTTTGTAAAAATGAGAAACGTACTTTGTAGTCACGATCTTAGCATTGACCTTACAGTTCGAATGACATCTTGCTACATCTTTCTTGTCCTGCTGTATGGAGTGGAAGCGTGGACTCTAACTGCGGCTATCCTTAAACGCTTGACAGCATTTGAGATGTGGGTATACAGACGACTACTGAAAATAAGCTGGGTCGACAGAGTTAGAAATCAGGAGGTCCTTAGACGGCTGAACCAAACAACACAACTGGTCAATATAATAAAGAAACGCAAGCCGGAATACTTCGGTCACATTATGAGACACCCTGAAAAATATAATCTTTTACATCTGATCATTCAGGAAGTCAGGTAACCGTGGTCCTGGTAGAAGAAGAACATCATCGCTGAAAAATCTAAGGCAATGGTATGGAAAATTAACTACGTAGTTATTTAGAGCTGCTGTCAATAGTCACGATAGCGAATATGGTAGCCAACATGATATCCAACGATCGATAGCGGTCATGGAACTAGAACAAGAAGAAGAAGGATTGTATTGTTGCTTCTTGTCAGATCTGATTAAGCGGGATTATTTGCAATTCAAACTAGTTTTGACTTACAAATAAATGAATCCATAGCCTTTAATAGGGAGGCGTAGAATTTCATGGCTACGCAACCTGAGAGAGTGGTAACGATGTACATTAAATCAACTTTTCAGAGCAGCCGTCTCAAAAGTCCGAATAGCTTTGATGATTGCCGACCTACGCCGCGGAGATAGCATTGAAGAAGAAAATAGCCTTTAATATAGAATAATTTACCCTTAGATCCATCGTATACCATGCTGTTTTTACATAAAGAGAGAATATCTACGGGTACTTATAATTATTTAAAATGATATGTAGGCGTAAAATCTGATGGTTTGTCTGTTAGGCTGTTTAGATACACCAGCTGATGCACTTTGTCTAGCTTGACAATTTTATTTTTATACCAAGTTAGTTTTTAATTTGAGATTGTTTTCATGTTATGCCAGCCGCAATTGAAGTTGAACTTTGTATGTTGTACTTTCTTTTCCTAGTGATTGATAACAAGTTTTTTTATCCACTCCTCCATGTTCCTGTCCAAAATCCGTCTACAACTCGTTGTTTTATGACTTTGATTATAATTACATTTTGAAGCAAAACGAGGTAATAATGGAGAATTGATATTCATGTTTTTTTAATATATTAACGTTCTTTACTTGTTTTTTCAGGTACTTGACTTTCAACGTCATCAGTCAAGAAATTGCAAGATCTCGTGAAAGTAAAGGAGCGAGCGTAGCTCCAAAAGCCAAACCCCAAAAGAAAGAGAAATCTAAGAAAAGTAAGTCAGATAAGTTGTACTGAACCGGTTTGGGTATCAATTAAGGTACTAATTTCCATTTTTCTTTGGTTTTCATTTTACGTTAATACTTTTTAATTTAATAGTTTTTTTTTTTAGTATTTTGTGGTATTGTATCAAAGAAAAGTGTTATGAGGCATAATCTTGTTGATATTTATTACTTTTTGTTGTTTTAGGCAAGAAAAATGAAGAATCTGATTTACCAGAAGTAGATCAAAACACGAACAAGACTTTGAAGAAGCAGAAAGTAAAATAATTTCTCTCTATATTGTCCCGTTTTTTTTTTCATCCGTACCCATCGTAACCGTCACATTTTCACGTTTAAATTGGTTTTAAAGATTTATTTTCATGTTACTTTAGTATATATTTTTTTATTACATTAAATATAAGTTTGTGAAGTCCCTCCAATTATCAAATTTTCAATAAATTGTTATACAAAAATAGTTTTATGATATTTTATCATATCTCCACCCCCCACTACCCACAAACATACGTGGTCAGATTTTTAACGCAATTTAATACGCAGATGATACAGTAATTATATTAGACAGTCGTATTAAACGTCGAAGATCTCCAAATGCCAAAATATCAAAATAAATGAAAAAATAAAACAGTTTTCCGTTTATACATGTACTAACACCAAGATTTAAAACTCCAGTTAAACAGACTATAGTTAAAAGGGGTTCATATGAATGGGGGAATTATCACATCGAATAAACTGAAGTTTTTTTAATCTGTTGTTAAACTTGCAATTAACACGTTAGCTGACGTATGAAATTTTTTGGAATAAAAAGTATTCTATACTGTCGGTGGCTAACTGACTTTATTTTTTCATACCACTCGGACCTCGGTTGAATTGAAGAGGGGAGCTGTACTTTAAGATCAACTACGATGATTTAAGATCAACATATAGACAACTGGCGGCTAATGGGAATGTGAAACACATGAAAAAAATGTAATACTGTGTTTATATAGAATTCGGCCACAATTGATTGTATTGACAATTGAAGGGCCAAGTGGAAGAAGTTGTTAAGTTACAAAAATTAGTTTTCAAGATAATCCACTTTTAGTGAATGATGCTGGAATTTTTTATTAAAAACACTGGAACTAGTACATTATAGTTTATGTTAGGACATAAGTAATCAGTTTTTGGTATATTTTAAGTCTCAATACTATCAGTTTCCCCTTCTTTAAAAAAATGTATATAACACCTTCGTTTACTACCAAATACCAAAAGGAATAGATTGTTTAGCGAAATAAAGAGTTAACTACAAAATAAATCATTTATTCATTCACAAAATCAGTAACAGATTGAGATTATTGTTGAAATAATAAAAAAAAATTAATAACATATTACAATTTTCGTTGACATTTTTGCGGTATTGGAGCATTTTTGTTTTGTTCATATTCACGAATCACACGTTCGTAATATCCACGATGTTCTTCTGAAATATATGGCAATTTAGTAACAATATCAGCAATTTTTTTGTCTGATATATTTCCAGTCTTCTCTAAAATTCTAGAAAAGTGGACATTTTCTGTGAGTACCTTTAGTTTATTCTTAAATATTGAAACCTTATGAAATGGAGTATATTCATCATACTACTCGTTGTATAGGTAGCTTCCAATTTCATCGATTCGAATCCACTTAATGCCATATCTGAAGTTAACCTTTTGATTAAGTAAATTTTTTTTCTGTTTATCAGGCCAAGCTCAGTACCTAATTTATCAAGGTCACGAAAATAGGTTTCCATATCATAAACCATACAACCCTTACCAATGGCAGATTTAATTATTTTCCGGTACTGTTGCGGTGTAACTATAGTTCCATGTCTTCTAAGCACTTTTTCAATTCATCCGAAATCCCGATCAGATTCCAAATACGTGTGGCCGACCTCAGGAAATTTATGATCTATTTTGTCAAAATAACCTCGAACTATCATTAATTGATACAAAATAATCAAATTAAATTAAATTTTTATTTTGACCACCGCAAGAGTCCGACCATGTTACTAAATGTTTTTTTTATATTTAACATCATCACATGTCTGAATAAAATTCCACAAGCAGCTTCCAATTTCAGAAATGCCTCTACCTGCTACATCTTCTGTCCATGTTTGAAAAACAGATCTTTGTCCATTTACGGTCACAACATGGATGCCCAACTTGTACAACCATATTTGGCGCAAATAAAAAGCTTTTGATGTTTTTATCTTTAGCAAAGGCATAGTTGGCTGTAAATCCATTGTAATGTAACACACATTATTATCGTTTTTTGCTTTAGTGCAGTCATTACTCATCAAGTTGAATCCTATCTTAATATTCTCATGGTGCTCTTACTAGCTTGCCCTGAATCACAAATACTGCATGTACCGCTCTTTGGATGGCTAAACGATAAATTAAATTCTGTAGAAAAAACTTTGACATATAATGATTTTTTTATAAAATATATTTGGGGTTTTTGTTTTTCCTTGCATTTAGCAATGTACAATCAATACATGATTGACATGTTAAGATTAGGTGGCAGATATTTTTTATTGGGGTTACTGGTGCGTGAGTAGTGGGACTCTTCTGCAGGGAATTCTAAAATATGATTCATTATCTCCTGTTTTACAAGTTCTCATTTAATTTGTTTGGCCTATTACAGCGTCGACCACGTTTGTCGAGAGATGGAGCTTATGCTGCAGTAGCTAGCTTGCCTTTAATGACATCTAACTTTTTCATCCCTATTTGATATACCGATAAAGAACACAATGCTTTTTTGCACACAAAAATTCCTTCGTTATTGAATACAACAGTATATCGATAAGATACAGATTTGTGTTTTATTGCATCTCCTCTGATGCATGCTACCGATTTAGGAATAATACTTTTATATAAGAGAGCATTGTTTCCATTATTATCAAGTGCATAAAAATTATTTAATATTGATTTTCGTTCTTCATCCTTAAATTTACTGCTGCATTTTAGTTTGCACTTTTCCGTACACAGATTTTCTAAACGAGCTATTTTTCTCGTCCAATTTTACCTGTGCTGGATGTGTAGGCTTTTCCTTGTTCTCTAGTAAGTAACGACTTTCTTCTTTTCCATGCATCGGAATTTCTTACCTTAAGGTTAGTTTTTATTTTGATTGGAAAACTTTTAATTCTTTTTGTCGTTATGCTAGCATTAAAAATGTTTATATATTCAGCGGTGTTTGTTGCCTCTACAGATAATGTCTGAAGATTATTCATTGAACTGGCCTCTTCTAAGCTTACGCTTCTAATATTTTCTTTGCTTCAAGATTTCCCACTCCCTGTTTAGTATTTTCCCGACTACTTACTCCAATACTTTCTAATGTTACACTGTCACCGTCGTCACTAGATTCTTATTCGCCTGGAACGTATTCACTGCCACTTGATTCAAATAAACATGACGCAGGTGAATGTAAAATTATCATCAGACATTTGTTGAGTCTCAACTAAAAAGTACCAGTAGTAGAACTTAAAGTATTAAAACTTAAGTATGAAGACTTGAATAATTCATGCTTTCACACTAATGAAAAATAATTACCTTCCATCTTAATAAAGTAACTTTTATATTTTTTTGTTTGACTTTCCTTTGGTCCCCTTCATTTTGTACTAAATTTTTCTTCGTTACATATCTTTTAACTACATCTTGACGTGTAATTTCCAAAATAAACTCCACCAATACATCTCAAAATTTTTTATGCTGAATGCAAAAGTAATATATAACCAATATACTACTTACAGGTGGCCCCATCAATTATCCGTTGAAAATGTTTTGATATCGATTTTCGGACACAAGAAGAATAAGCGGCGAATTGGTCGGAACAATGATACCATCCATTTATCTTCCCTATTATTCAGTAAAAGAAATTATTGCAAAATCACATAAGTAAAAAAATATTTAATTAATAGTCAACAATAAATTTCTATTATTTGTGTTTTTATTTTTATGTGCTTTTTATTTATTTTTTTCTCAGATTATTTATTTCATTATATCGTCTTCATGGATTATATTTTGTTTGTCTGGGAAATTCATAACGTACAGGAAATATTTAACAAATTCATTACTTCCAGTAAATACAAATACAATTTTTGCAGATTACACGTGAGTTTAAACTCGTATTATTAATTTGTATTTACAATAATTAATATCTACTTTACAGTCAATTTTAAATTCTGCTTCACAAGTAACGTCACACGCTGTGAGTGCCTCTAGATATATTTTTATTTCTAGTCAAAATCTAATACCGTCACTATGCTTTAGTTCTTTACTATGTTTGGAGTACCAGAAACGGCATGTGTGAATGCATATTGTTGATTCCCTTGCCGACTAATTCATCAATATGTCTGCTTTGTAAGTTTTAGAAAGCACAGTGGTAAAGATTTGAATTTAGTTTCGCCAAAAGGAAATCTTAGGATTCCTAGTGTTGTTATTAGATGGCGTTGTAACGTCTGTAAATAATTATTTTTATAATTATTGTCCTATGACGGGATAGATTTCGTTTGTATTCAGAGCAACTGCATATGTCGTTCTGATGAGACATATTTGCGAGATTTATTTTAGATCACCTCTGATTCTGCATTTGGCTTCCAGGTGTAGTCTTCTCGGTGGCAATTTGAAGTGAGTATTGGATATAATGAAATCGTGTTCTTGGCAGAACTAGACAAGTCAATCTCCACGTTCATTTCTGTTTCCCAGGCCATAATCCCTCACAACATTCAAACAGCGCTCTTTGCTGACTTTGGCGTTAAAATCTCTAGGACTATGATATTTTCTGCTACTTTGACAAGATCTACAGCATCAGTAATATATCGTTAAAATGCTTCTGAATTACCTTTATCACTGGGTATAGACATGCATTTATGTCGGATATGGGGATCTAGTTTAATACTAATTGCACTAAGTGTTTTGCAACTACGATTGCAACGCCATTATAGTGATTAGCATCGTTATTTTCGACATAGTACACTCCATCAACATCACATACCTACTCCCGATATCGGCCACCGCATATGACTTATACCGAGAATGCTGATTTGCCTAACTCAAGCACGCTTCTGACTTCTGTGGCTATTTTGTAAGGATTTAGCATATTAACGACCTGAGAAGTCCTACAGTCTTGAGATTGAAGTCGCTGCTTTAGTTGTTAAAAATTGCTCACATAACTCAATAAATTTTTATTTTCCTGAAAGTCAGTCATTCTCATCTATTAAAGATTTCCATCAAATCAATGGCATTGTTTTTTGAAAATGTTCATCCTACATATAGTTTGGAAACCGTTTCGATTGTGTTATTAATGTCGTGCTAAAGATAGTGGATTTATCTTACTGATAACGTGGTAGGGTTATTCTTGTAGCGCATTGTTTAATCATCTTCCAAGAAACCTATGGTCTAACATGTTTGCTGCAAAATGAGCATCACCCAATGCCATGCTTCTACATCTAATTTTTTTAAAACTTCTATAGGTTGTTTTAAATCATATTCCACTGTATTCCATATTTAAACAGCAATAGAAATTATTGTTGTTCTTTGTATGCAATCAAGAGCTACTGAAATTGGTCTCATGCGAATAACTCAACAGCGTTCATTACAACATCATTGTAGTTCATATTTTTTTGATGTCACTGTAATGACTTCTGTCTTATTTTGGAAATGTTGGACAGATACGTCTATTACCAAGGTAGCTTCAATTGCATCATGCATTGTGTCCCACCTTACTTCTTGAGGCATTACAAGTTTTTCCCCGTGCCTCTTTGTATAGAGCAGCTGGCATATGTTTACTTCTTTCTAAAGTATTTAATTACTCTGATGAAGGATTGATTACCTGAGAAGATCAAGATCCTGAACCAATAAATTGAGGAAATGAGCTGAACAGCTATAACGATGGATATTGGTTTTATCAGTGAAATTACTGGTCATTTTTTGTATATTTGCAGCTTTGTCCCTCACAAAACTTCTTACTTTTACTTGCAATCTTGAAATATCAGTATTCAACCTGATAAAATCTGCAGTTTACACTTTCTGTCAGTCCGAATTTATTCATGTGCTCCTTGAGGCGACGTGACGGCGACAGTGTCCTTTTAGGAGACCTACAATAATTACGTTAGTTTGAAGAAAGGTTTACTTTATTTCAAATTCATCGAAGGGTGTACCTATTATTTCACGTTTGTGTTTTCCTCGTTTACTCTTACTCCAAGCATGTTGGGAATAAAACTGGGTTATAAAACATAGGCGCCGCCAGGTAATCAGTTGGCCAGTCTTTAGCTTCCACTCTGTCGTGCTCACGGTACAGAACCACGTCGAGGTTTCACGACACTCAATTGCTCTACTCTACTTGCATAGAATATATCGTTATTTTACAGCTAATATTATACATAGATTTTCTTTTAAAAAGTTTTCGGCCTTTTAAACATGTATTATTTACTGATGTCTAGCCTTTAAATTTACAATTTTTACTAGCTTACTAATGTTAGGTATTAGAACACCGGGTGTATTAAAAGTTACCATGGAAGCAGCCAAGTTTGTAGATCGCATGTATAATCTTCATATTCAATTTATCTAAACTGATTCTAAGTGTGCGCTCATAACGAGGCGCCGACCCTCGATCGGACCATAGGATGGTATCATACTATCATCGCCACCAAAAATAAACTGCATTATTTTAAAACTGCCAGCATTCACCGTCAACGCGCAGCCTCGAGCCAGGTATTGGACCATAAACCACAGTATTCAAGCTTAGTATTTTTTCGACCCTCGATCCTACTACTCTACAATCGACACTACACAATAAATGCATTTTATTTTAAATGCGAGCGTTTACTATCAATGCTATGATCTAGGCGAGGATACCATGCGATGGTCTCCGTAATAACCGCACCCTAAAGAAACCTGTTTTACGAAGAAAGTTAAACGATGATCTGTTGACTGTTATATAATATAAGTATGTGTTTGTTTCTGTGTTTCAATACTTCAGAAAATTATCGTATTTCTTACAATTTCCTACATTTATTTTACATATTATGTTATGTTTTTAAATTTTTTGTTTGCATTTCAAAGAAATCTTAATTTTTCTTGGTTTTTGCAGTTGGCTCCTAATATTTTTTTAGTTTTTAATGAGGAGTCTGTAGTGGTGTTTTATTTGGGTTTTATGGAATAAAAAATACTTATGGTTTTCAACCCATTAGATTGAGATGATTATATTACTTACTATATTTTTAAGGAGACTCGTTTCAGGCTGTTATGACTAACTGGAGTTTATAGTTGTTCTGTGGAGGAGAAACTGTTAATAGTTTTTATTTTATTTATTCTATAAAAATTCACAATTTTCACTGGATATGTCTAAGTATATATTTGTTAAATAAAAAAGAACATTTGTAAGATAATATAATATAACTTCTTATCGTGTTTTTCCAGGTTATAACCACATGACTGACAACTTATGTAGAGGCCGCCTAATTATTTTATTTTAAAAAAGAAGAACGTTTTGACATTACTGTCACTGTCATTAACTAACATGACAACTAATCAAATGATTTATCAAAAATCTTGTTTTTTGCAATATTTATGAAGTTAAACAACTATGTCAGGTTCAAATCCTTTTTCAGCCCTTTTCGGTATCACAAGTTCCACAAAGATTTCTAATGTCAGTAATGTTTTAGAAAGAATTTTCAAATTTACTATAGATCCAAACAAATCTAACTCAGATTTGCTGTTTTTAGAAGATGTTCACAAAGTTCATGAAAAAACTGATTTAGATTTAAGTTTATTACAATATGCTTTATTCGAAAGATTATTTTTGTGTAATGAAAACTCGGAATTACGAAGCGACAGTGATAGCATTCAAGAAACCAAAGTTGTCAAGTATTTATACCACTGTTTGCAAAATTTAAATGATCACAAAAGTGAGTTATCTGCTGAACATTATAATGATATTAAGGACAAAATTATGCAAAATACGGCTACTTCCATTATACAGCCAGATGTTTATTCTGGACAAAATATTGCAGCTGACTTGCTAGGATTGTTGAGAGATGCTGAACTTGGAGCAGATACATTTTTTCTTGATGCTGTTAACAAAGTTTATGAAGAAGAAAACAGTAAGTATTAAAGAACACCTCACGTTATATTAGGTTCAGTTTTGATCGTCACTTGGTTGTAATAAGCAACTGCAAGAAGAAACAGTTTCAAAATAGGAAAGTAGATATTTGCTATTTTATTTTACTACCTTGTTGCATTGATATCATGTCTTTCAATAAATCTTGGTAAAAATGAGTAAATATGTACAATAAAATATTTAATATTGCTGTTTTCAGAATTTCTTATTATTTTATTGTATGTAAGAGTGATGTTATTCCTTCTTAATAACAATATTAATTTTGCTTTAATTTTAATGTCAATTGACAACTCTAGATCCCAAAACACTTGAAGCATCTGGATCATATCTATCCTAGTTATTAAGTATAATTTACATTCAAAAATACAAGTAACTTTGGTACAATTACTTAAATTATAAATCAAAGAAGAAAGGCATTGAAAAAAAAAATAAAATAGATGGTTTAGGTTTGATTTTGTTACAGCTTACCACCTGATATGCTGACATGCATATTTCAGCCTTTTGGCTTTTTCAAAATGAACTCATTATTTTAATCTAGTACAGAGTATTAGGAAATCGTTTTCACAAAGGGATTTCTGTCTAGACAAATTGGCATGATGTGGATTCAATTATAAATTTCCATGTCAATCCATTTGTCATCTGCTTGCTTTGCAATGTTTTGAAAGTACAGGTTTAGGCTGAATGCTGAATTCAATTTCCGATTTATATTCGCATTGAAAAAAGTTCACAAAATCAATATATGTGAACATACATGTACTTAATAGAAGACTCCAATATGCTATTTGAAATGGTATGGTTAAAAAAGTCACAAAATTTCACATTATAATGTGTGTTTAATTCAAGAATAATAAATCTGGGAAATAATGATTAAGTTTTACTTAGGCAGCAATAAACTGGCGTGACAGGAGGATATATCTTTTGTTCTTTTTTGTGGAGATATAAGCACAAAAGATCTTTAATCAACACACAATGGTCAATTTGTTAAAATTAGAAAATTAGAATATTTATCCACATGCTACACATCAGTAAAAATTTCATATATCATAAAATGCTATAAACTACAGCCTATAATTGATTGTTTATAGTAAGCTGGAATTTGAATTTTGTAGAAATGTATTCGATAGTATTTTATAACTAGACTTTCATACACTCCAGTTGAGAAATTTATTGGAACATCAGGGAAAAAGTTTTTGCTCTTAAAAACTATCATATCTACAATAAAAATGATTAAAGATAAAATTGTTTGCAGTGAAATTTCGTTTCTAAATATAATTTTGTAGTTAAGTAAAAACAGTTTTCCAGTATGTAATAGTGAAAATTTATCACGAAAAGTTATAAAAAATGGAAAATGGAAAACCCTTTCAAGATTTTGAAAATTTGGTATGACCATTTTTAAGTTGTGTTCAAAAGAATGTGAAAAATGAAAATGTGCAATGCATTTTTTGGTTTCGCATAATAATTTTTTTATCCATCTTCAATGGGAAGATTAAAAAATGAAAACAAGCTTTCAAACCCATTTTGAAATATTAAAATTGGTTTTTAAACCATAAGTCATATCTAGTATAATTTTGTTTTATAAACAATACTAAACTTCTCATTGCTAAACACTGTTTAAATAATTGTTCCATAAATTTTTGTTTATACTTAAACCTGTTGTAACATAATTCTGGATTTAAAGAAAAAAATTGTTAGTTAATTTTTAATTTGCAATATAATATACCTATTAATTTTTTATTTTGAAAAATTTTATATAGCCTTTGTATGAAATGGACTCTTTTGGTCCAATAGCTATTGTAGTTTTCCGTGCTCCTGGGGAGAAGTTTTGTATTTTGCACCATAGAAATTCACATCCTATTTAGATAATAGACCTTTCTTTACTCTTCTTAAGGTCTCTTTGGTATCTTCTATGCCTCCCAAGTTTTTGGTTGTTGGTTTTTGTTTACTAAAACATCTAATAAATGTAGTCTGTTGTTCTCTATTTCTATGGTGAACTGAATTTTAGATAGATAGATGGTTTATTGGTAATAAATGAATACAAAAGTATTTTTTACAAGTCAAAGAAAATAAAATATATGTCAATATAGTTAATATACACATAAATAAAAACAAAACATATATACAGTGTTTTAAATTATACTGTTGACAATTACAACAAATTAAATTTAGATTTCATATTGCCACCTCCATTATGACTACCTCAGTAATGAAAAAGATTTGTGATGTCTTCTGAGAACTGCTGACTAATGCATTGTAATGCATCCTTAACTGACACCACAGTAAATAGTGAAGTTTTAGTAAAGTTTTAGTTTATTTGTAAAGAATAATGTCTTCAACTATTATTGTGCTTGGTGTGATAGCAAAGTTTCAACTCTTTGCTAATACACTGACTTCTGCTGGAGATATGTTCAGAGAAATGATTGAAATCAAAAATATCCCATCAACTTCAATTAGTTACAACTGCTACCACAATGTCTCTGATAATGTGTGCCTTAGTTGCTGCTATGGTGTATCATCTTGATATGTTTAATTTGTATTGCATTCTTATTTACCATTTCTATCCTACTACTTTACTCTATTATAATAAGAATATCATAAAACTTTTCCCAAAGTAGTAAACTAATCATAAGTTTCTTAAATTATATTTGAAATTATGCACTTTATAAATAACAAATTTTCTTAATGTATTATTTTTTGTATGACTATACTTTTCAGACACAACTTCAATAACTACTTTTGTTAGAGCTATCAATAAAATACTAATAGAAGAGTTGGCTCCTGCGACAATAACAGATGTTAACCCTTCAATTTTTAACTACTTAGATGTTGTACCTAATAATGAAATATTAGCTGAAGTGTTTATAGATAACTGTGCTCCAAAGAATAATACAGGGTCAAGTTTTGCAGAAACTCTTTTAGGGGCCATTTTGAACAACTCTGTATTACCTAAGACCCCAGTTGGCCAGTATGTACACTTTACAAATCCAGTGGATCAGGTAATTTCTTTCATACTTATTCTTTTATTCATAATTTAATATGTAGCATACATTTATTTACATATTTTCTATAATAACTAAATATTTGTTATGGTGAACTTAAACATCAAAGGATGTAGAAGCTCTACTATTGAAAAATTAAGAAATGTATTGAATAATAATATAATCATCCAAAAACAATATTGAATAGGACTATCATTTCATCACTGTTCGCTGCACTACACTGTGTGCACATTTAGGTGTGAGTATATCATGTGCTTTTTTTTCTCTATAATAATTTTACCCTTGTTTGGATTTGTCTCTATTGGCTTTCTTACTCTACCCTAATTGCAGTTTTTCTTCTTATCTTTCTATCCCTTTTTATTATCTCTCTGGCCAGAGAGCCAATTCGAGGACCAGTTCGAGATCCTTCACATCTCTAATGGTGATTATCTTTCCCTCAATAGACCTTTCAAGTATGCTTTTATATCTTTCCCAGTCTATCTCTCGGATTTCTGAAGTCTGATATAACCCTTGGAGAGAACTAATCTTTTTGAGACACCCTGTAGATTTGTGTGTAACTACTTTCTCAATTATTGCATTTACATCCTCTTGATCCAAATATAGTAGATATTCCAGCTTCATAACTGCAGTTTTCCAATTCATGTCATCTTGTTTTTCGCTCAAAATGTTTACATTTTAACATTTGTTGTGATATCTGTTCTGCCTTGCTTATTTTTGATAATGTTCTCACATTTCAGCACTCTCTACAGAACTATGATAAAAGTGTATCATGTTTGCAGTGTTCAGACTTCAATTCTCTTCATAGTCATGGGAAGTACAGGTCTTTTTAAAAATCAGGGCAGTCAACAACCCATTATTCCTCTGAAGAAGTTGTATATTTATAATTGTAGCAAAACATTAAAATCCGTAAAAGAATAATTTTATTTCAACTGTCAGTCCTTGAAAAATAAAATATTGTTTTGTGTACTATACCTATAATCTTCTAATTTAATTGATATGTTTAAGCCTGTAAACAACGGAACTGAAGAATACCTTTGGATATATCTTTCGAAACAAAACAAAAACTTGCACAAATTCTTTCTAGCTATGTTAAAGTGTAGTCCAAAAGTTAAAGAGAAAACGACGCTATGGATCGGAAAATGTCTTAAGACAAACGCCAATAGAGGCAAATTATGGAACACACATGTGCCTGAGTTAAATCCAGCTATGTATACAAATGTAGCAGATGGGTTTATGTTGAATCTAAGTAATTTGTTGTTAAGTTTGTGCCAACCATTTTGTTCGAAGATTAATGATGAAAGAATTTTAAAAGTAGACCCCACTTATTGTGCTGTTTCTGTAAGTATTATCTCCAAAACATTTGTGTTATTTAGTAATATAGCGTAACTTGTATACTATATAAAGAATGTTGGTTAAAACTCTATAGCATGAATTACATAGCACCACATTGGCAACAAATTAATTATATAATAACAATTTAATTTTTAATGGTGGCATCACACGTCGCTATGTGTTATTCGTTATGCGAAATATTCGGCCACATGATGCGAAGTGTGGAGGGTACATTCGTCAATTATTTGCATTATTCGCAAGCACACCCGAATAGCAAATATGGCTATCCGTCCACTTGTCGGTTTTTTGACACACTTTAAAGGATACGAATAAGCCGAATGCACGCCGAATGTATGTGTCAACTGCGCATACTTCGTTCGCACCGGTGGTTTTCTCGCTGTTTATCTTAACCTAACTTTCTATTTACATTTGTTGATCGTACCTTATCTTGAATCCCTATTCTCATTTTATGTTATGATTCTCATACCAAAATACACCTGATTTTGTGTTAACCCATCTTCATCTTTGAAACATACTAAAAATTATTTCAAAAGATTTGGGAAAAATGCAAGGTATTTGATTGAGTTTTATGGAAAAAACGAAGCTAATATTTTTTCCCTATAATATGGCACGCACTTCTTATTTAAGTGATTTCCCATCCACTAAAGCTACCGTTAAACAATTTTTTAGTATCCTTCGAAGATCCTGGCTTCCAACTTTCCATCGGAAATTCATCAAAGAAAATTAGGAATGGATTCAAATGAGTTCTGAATAAGTTTGTATTTGGGTTTTGATTTTAATTTGTGTACAAGACTAGTCTTAATATTTATAAATGGCCGACATATTCTTCTTGAAATTGTCTCATTGTCTACACGTCTGTCTGTCGTACAATAACTCTTGAAGGAAATGATTAAATGGAGGCATTCCTAACCAATTCGTTAGACATTAGTCATTCGGCAAGAACTTTTGTATGTTCAAGAATTATGGAGAATCTTTCGATTCTTGGTTGTATCAGTTTATTCTTTTTGTTTCTTTTTCTGTGTAGTGGACCATTTATTTTAAGGAGATTTGTTTATCAGCATCATGCCTTGTATTTTTTTGGTTAACCGGATTTTGGATATTAACCCAATCCTTCTTTTTTTACAATTTAGATCAGTGTTTGAAAACTGTAATCTTTTAGATCTTTGTACAAAACACGGATATTTCACAATCATAATATGCGAAACAATGTTTAAGAGAATTATACTATCTGCCGTTATATTTTTTAGAACGAAGATATAGCCGAAAAAGGCATTCATATGTCTGATATGTCTACAGAAACTTGCTTTTTGCCAGTGTCTTCTGATGATACCTTGGAGGAAAAACGATTGACTGCCAAAAGTTACAATTTTGTTACTGAGTGTTTCTTCATGGCTCAGAAATCTTTAGATTTGGGATATAGAGTTGGAGTAGACAAACTTATGCGACAAAATCATGTAGGTATAATACAATGTAATGTTTCTTAAATATAAACAAAGTATAAAAACTTTGAACATATGAGGTAAAGGTATTGTAGGTGTCCGAACTAAAGTGTTATGACATTTTATGTGTGGTAGGAAAATAGGGAAGTTAATATTCAATCTTTGATTATTCATATTTTTAAGTGTTCAGTCAAACAACAGTAATGTATCTGAGTGCAAGAAATAAAAAATCATAAGTCCCTGGAGGCGATGAAATAGTGGCAGATGGCTTGAATGTGGCTGGAAAAAGATTATGACAGGTCCTTCCAAGCTTGTTGCTTTTCACTGGATGTCTATAGGAAGCAGTAACAGTAGCATAACAGCGGAAATTATCCTTCTTCATAAAAAAGGCGTTGCTACCGACCTCAGAAACTACAGACCCATAAGTCTACTTTCCCATATTTATAAACTATTTAAAAAAATAATTAAGAATCGATTATAAAATAAACTGGAATTTTGTAATCCTATAGAACAGGCAGATTATAGAAAAGGCTGGGTGCCTTGACAGAATGCCGAATTGACTATCTATCTATATAAAAGGCTGACAAGGTATGATGACAAGTCACACCGTTTGTCCAGTCAGGTAACGGCGCCATATAGGAAAGAAATATGAACTACCATAGTTTAATCATATTTTCTTCTTGAAACGATACGTTTAATACGATACGATAATAATACTGTATTAATTATATATTAATATAATTAATAATTAATGTTAATAATATTGTTAAGGTCGAATTTATTACAAACTAATTTAAAGCTTTATGTTAGTTTAGATTTAAAATCTGAACTACCAACATCTGACATTTCATTCATATTTTGTTTCTGAAACGATATGTTTAATAATACAAAAAATACTAATTGCGTAATAATATAATTAATAAATAATATTAATATTTTTAAAGTACGATTTAATACAAAATAATTTAAAGTTGTGTGTTAGTTCAGATTTAAAATTTTAGTGTCACCTAGAAAACATATCTGAAACACCAACTGACATTTCAATCTATGCGTCAATCATGTTTTGTTCTTGAATTCATACGTTTACTTAAAATAACTAACAATATTAATTAGATATATTAATACATATTAATTACATAGATAATTAATAATACGAATATTTAGTTTTTTTTTTTCGCAAAATTGACCAAAATCTTGGTTGCTGTAATTTAAAGATAATATTTATTTTTCAAAATATTTTAAAATATATGTTAGTTTATCTTTATTTGGTTTATATGCTAGAAGGTACATGCTGGTTTTTGTACTTATATCGATTTAATAAGACGTCATTTAATTTTTTTTAATTTTTATAACAACTCGAGAAATACCGGATCGACTTGGGTAATTGATTTTAATATATTTTTATAAATATCTGTATAAAATATAATAATATAAAATAAAATCAAGTAATTTAAATTAAGTAAAATCGAATCAAAATTAATTAAATACCATGGCTCCGTGTGTAGACAATAAGAAAGCTATGCTTTCACTCCCAGAATTACAACATATAACACTTCTTGATATTTTAAAACCGTTTTATTAAAATATAATGATAATCAAAATGAAGTAATTAAACATAAATACAATATAATAATGAAAATGTAAATGGTGAATAAATTCTGTTTTATATTTAACAAATTTTGAAAATTACTAAAATCATTAAACAAAATTTTTAAAGGAAAAAATTAAGTTTTTTCAAACCTTAAAGAATTTAAATGTGTGGTATTATTATAAAACAAAATACATATTAACAATTCAGTAATAAGCAGATATGAAATTTCATTAACCCAATAATAATATCCTTTGTTATTGGTCTGATTGGAGCGTGTGATACGTTAAATAAAAGGGAACGATATCAACAATATATTAATATGAAAGAAACAAACAAAGCGACTACCAAAAGGGCACTACACTGTGTCCTCATTATTAATGAGAGTTTAGTTACATACAAGATGTCATAGGGCACTATGGATAAATATAGTTTAACTAAAAGACAAATTTTGATTTATCGACTTCTGGCTGAATATAAAATAAACAACTGAACGAATCATAAAATGCGGCATAGCAGATGAAAGGGGCAGAAATAACGAATATATTAAGTAAGCAAAAACAAATAAGGCGACTAAAGGGTACTACACAGTATCTTCATTAATAATGAACGTATAGAGACATACGAAATATCATAGGGTATTATGAATACAAATAGATTTACTACTAAAAGGGCAATACACATCGTCTTCGTTATTAATGAACATATAGCGACATATGACATATTGCATGACACTATGGATGATAACTGAATGATAATAGATATATTGGCTTTATATATACAGGTAAATATAGGGTAAATTTGCTTTATTGACCTAAAAACGGGCACTATATAAAATATAATTAAACACATACATAAAAAAGCAATAGCTAGTGTTAGAGTGGGTGATCGTTAAACTCAGAAGTTCCTCAAACAATGTTGAGTACGTCAGAGGGACACCATATTACCGAAACTGTTTACTACGCTTTTGGAATATATATGTAAAAGGGCAAAACTGACTAACAAGAGCATAAACATAAATGGAGAAAAGCTTAGCCACATGGGTTTGCAGATGATATGCTAATATGTCCAGCAGTGAACAAGCGAAGATTTAATGATAAATATACCAAAGTATGTATTTATGATGAAGAAAAAATAAGAGGAAGCATTAAATATCACTCAAAAACTTGCAGGAAAGAATAGCTAAAGCTTGTAATATTTCTGTCAACACGGTTAAACGTATTGTTGGTCATCATTCAATCTTAGCTTGTTCACTGCTGGAGTGTTGTATCAATCGTGATTGATTCGTCCGTTTTGATTCAATCACTTCAAAGTATTGAACGACCGAATCCCACTAGTTCATAACGATCGAATCGTATGGTTACAAAAATTTTTTGATTGACCGCTGACGGCACCGATCGAGATTGAACCAAAACAAAATCGCACAGTCAATACTTTCGGTCATCGGTCCTCGGTAATTCCTCACTTGCGACGAGGGTCGATATATGACTTGCGACTGAATGATTGCATTCGTTTGAATGATTGAAAACTTAAAATACTAAAAAACATATTGAATTAAGAATTATTGCGTGCAAGGCAGCGACTTAACTACAGCCCGGGAGTATTGGAGTTGGAAAATATTCTGTTGGGCCAAAGCGATTACTTGCGTTGTTAATAGTAATGAGGTAGTTAAAATATCGCAAAATTAAAATTTGCACAATATGACAATAAATATTTATATTTGGATGCAGCACATATTTCCATATAAATTATAATTATTTCTGGGTTACACTGAGAACTTAAAAACAAAAACATAAATTCAAGCTTCTCGAATATTTCGTCTAGAATCTAAGCTAAGCCCTTCACGCACTAACAATAACGTATAAAGGACAATGAAGGTGAATACACATTCTATGAAATACGGTAAGCAATACTACCGGTTTTCAGTCGATTCAGCTCAATCAATCGGTTACTTGTTATTTGTTTTAAACGGCAACCAAAAGTATTGAAACGAACGAACGATTTAAATGATCCGATCGGTTTTCAGAGTCGGTCACTGATTGATTCGGTCCTTGTAAAATGAACGATTGACACAACATTACTGGACATATATATCCCTCATAATTTTCCATCTGTTTTGATCTTGTGTCTCACATTAAATTCCTATGGCAACGCTTTAGACCTTTCGAACTTTCGTCAGTTCAATGTGTTTGTGGACGACCTCTGCTTCGGTAGTCTCATCTCATGGTCTCCATTCCAGTATACACTTTGTCCATCTGTTATCTGATGATAGTATATTCCTTTATTGAATTTATAATTATTTTTAAAAAGATTTTTAAACTAATTGTTTCCGTAATCTTAGATTTTTTTAAGTGTTTAAATAAATATTTATAAGGTATTAAGGAGAAGTAATATTTTCTAACATTTAAATTGAAATTTAATTTTTTCTTATTCTTAAGGTGCCTTCTTTATTACTGAAGGTTGGCTATAACTACAGCAAATTGCTCTCTATCTTGAGCTGTTCTTAGTATCGAATGTGTGTCCATACCTGTCCAGTCTCTTACATTTTTCATTCAGGAGCATTTTCTTCTTCCTGGACCTCCTCTTCCTTCCACTTTCCCTTCCATTATAAGTCGTAGGAAGTTGTATTTTTCTCCTCTGTAAATATGTCCTAGATAACTCATTTTTCTGTTTTTTACAATATTTAGGAGTTCTCTCTCAGTACCCATTCTTCTTAGCACCTCGTTGTTGATCATGTGCTCTGTCCAAGAGATTTTCAGCATCCTTCGAAAAACTCACATCTCAAAGGCTTCTATACGCCTCATACTTGTAATTTAGAGAGTCCATGTTTCCACTCCGTATAGCAATATGGATTAAATAAACGTTTTTACAAATTGGTATCGGATATCCAACGATAACGTAGAGTTTATTAGGAATTTTTTCATTCGTTGAAATGCGGACCTAGCATATTCTATACGAGCACGTATTTCGACCTCGTGGTTAAGATCGTTTGTTGTCCAGCAACCAAGATACTGGAATCTTTGTACTGGTTCGATATTTTTGTTAGAGATACGAATATTAATGTGGACATTTGGTGCACGTGTAACAGCCATTACTTTTGTTTTATTTGTATTTATATTTAGTCCCAAGCTATCTCCCTCTCTGTATTGTTCTGAAGCTATTTTCTTGTGGCATTTTAAATTAATTACTATTTAACTGGGAATAAGCCACACTTAAAGATAAAAATACGTTTATTGACGTTTCAATTTCCACTTCGGAAATCGTTCTCAAAATACAAACAGTAAATTAACCAAATTTTGTTTAATTTTTTTTTTTTGAAAAAAAAAAAAACAAAATTTGTTTAATTTACTGTTTGTATTTTGAGAACGATTTCCGAAGTGGAAATTGAAACGTCAATAAACGTATTTTTATCTTTAATTGTGTCTTATTCCCAGTTAAATAGTAATTAATCTCCCTCTCTGGTTATGACATTCCAAAGTCGTTGTAAACCCTCCAATAATGACGGTGTCGTCTGCGTATCTTAAGTTGTTTACGTATTCTCCGTTGATTTTTATTCCTTCTTCAATATTTTCGAGGGCATTTTGAAAGATCTTTTCGGAATATATATCAAATAATAGGCAAAATTATAAGTATAGTTATAAGGCAAATATAGGTATAGGTATAAATGTCGATCTAAGCCAGTCTTCTGGGAAGATTCCAGTGGTATATATTTTGTTAAATAATATTGTTAATGTCTGAAGATTTTCTTCATTAATAAGCTTTATCATCTCTACGTATATTTCATCTGGACCTGAGGCTTTTCGTGGCTTTGCCGTATTGATTGTTTTTGTAACTTCCGATGTTAATATATCAAGTATTGCTTCTTGTACTATATTCATTTGTGATTCTGTTCTCTCGTCATCAAACAGATCTTCGATGTATTTTTCCCACATATCTCCTACATTTTCTGCACTAGATACTATTTCGTTGTTATCATCTACTAAATTTAATTTAATTTTTTAACTTTCCTAATTCTTACATTGACCTACCATAGATCTAGCGGACCAACTGTCGTTAATAGTTTTTGTGACATTCACTGAGCAATCGCTAACGCTACCTTAAGATGTTGTAACACCCAATATATAGTTGACATGAATTTGTTTATCTTAAGTTTATATCTACTAAAATTGCTTGAAGTCATTTGCATAATTCTTAAGAAAGATGTAGCTCATCAAAAAATGCTCTTTTACTTTTATTAAACACTATATTTTTGTAATTTTAATCGTTTTTTTATTGAGATTGCATAAGAAATATTAATACAAAAAATTTATAGGAAATGGGTAGAATCCAAAGAGCCTTTAATGATGCTGTACAACAAGCTGGTGGAAATTCTGATTTAGTAGGAGCTATCAAAGATAGAATGAGCGATGAGCTCACAAAGTAAGTGTACATAAATATATCCTTATTGTTTATCTAGTTTAAAAAAATAGTTGTAACGCATTTTTATTTCGCTCATTTGCGACAAGAATGACATAATTCAAAAAAGTAAAATTTTGAGAAATCGCTAATAAAGATTTTATCAGATGATTTCTAGTTTCACATTGCTTATCCAACTTTTTATAACATATTAGCAAGGTATACATATATACAGATATCGTAATTTAATAAGACCTAATGTTTTCCGTAATTTGTTTCGCATTATTTTGTCTAAATAAAAATAAATAAATTTTTATGTCGTTCTTTCTAAAAAACATTGGACCTATTTTGGTATTATTCCGAAAAATGACATTATTGTTGATAAGTGCTTTAATTTTTTTTAAGAAAGACAAGACAATATTTAGTATTATGTCTATATTACTGCAATTTTTCTTGAAGTAAGTATTAATTTTTAAATAAAAGGCTATGGAAGGTAATTCATGTAAACATTTTTATTAACAAAACATACCTTTTACAAAAAAATACCATTTTGATGCTTATGCTACAACTAAACAAGAAGGTTTTAACATAACATATTTATAATAATCTAAATTTTAATGCAATTAATACAAAACGAACATTTTAAACCAAAGAAAAAAAAATAAAAATATTTATAATGATTTATAGAACGGTGCATAGTATTTCGGTATAACATTTTTGTTTAATAAGTCAAGCAAATCGGATTTTTTTTTTCAGAAATTCCTGGCTTACAGTCATAAGCTTTTTTAACCACTATTTCTGGATATTTTTTCCTTTTATTATTACGGCCTTTTTAAAAGTCTCATCGTTATATGAGTGTTTGTAGTATAAAACCTGTGGGGATGATTTTTCAAGTTTCAAAATTTTGATGTCTGAAAGTTTAACTGGCTCGTTTTCTACATTTTTAGTGACATTCAGTCCCATTTGTGTGCAAACATCCTTCCAGTCAAAAAATCTTCAAACGACATTTCATGTACGTGATATGGCTGTCCATTTTTTCTTGCCGATTTGATTGCTCGCAATGAATGAATCTGGTGTGTACATGGGACCACTTTTTAATTGTCTTTTCACCTGCCTTTCTATGAGCGAATGTGCAGAATCACCCTCGTTTTGAGTGTGGCCCTTTATTAAGTACTTATGGGTTATGGATCTGATATTAGGAAGTTTTTGTAAACAGTATGAGTAAACAGCCAACATAAATTTGTTCTTCTGCTGTCCAGCGCAGTTGTCCGAGTAGAAAATAACATCTATATCGTTTTCTCCCATTGACTTTGCCTGCAAATAGTTAAAAACGCAGGTGCCCAAATCATTAACACCTCCATTTCCACTAGACTCATCCCATACAAAGCAATCGGTAGTATTTGAGTGTAAGTCGTAAACTGTAAAATTAAAAACATTTAATTTTGATTTATAGTAAAAAAGGGACACATCACCTTTCGGGCACTGAAAAACCGCCTGTAGGTCGTAAACGGCGACTACTTGATTACTATTTTCCTTATCTTCTACTTTCTGTAAGCGTGACAGTTCTTTTTCTTTTAAATGAAGTTCAAGTACGTTCAAGTCAAAGGAGTTACAAGTTTTTATGGAATTTCCAGAAATTAACATTAGAAAAGACTGTACCTTCTGAAGATGAACTGTTACAGTAACTACAACTAGAACTACTGCTGGAGGAAATAGAACTTCTAGAATGACTTATAGACGAACGATTTTGATCATTTTTATGTAAAATATCGAGTAGTGCCGGTACAATTGGCGATGAAGCATCTGCGTCTAAAAATAAAAAAAGTTATGAAATATTTACTAGATTATAAGTATAATGTAGTTTACCTCTTGGATTGATCTGTGATTGTTCGGCATCGTAAGCAAGCTTTTCATTTACAACGGAATGCTGAACTTCTTCAATATTTTTTGTAGCCAGGTCTAGTATAAATTTACCACGAGTGCCCATTTTTATGCTACAAATTTAAAACTTCGAATATAAACACAATTTAATTTTCTTTATGTAGAAATATAAAAATAAGTATAATTGTTAAAAAATAATTATCTTTTGAAAATAACTTTTGCCAATTTGTTATTATCAAGATCGTCATAATACAGTATAATATACATTTTAATACATACTGTCTTTAATTATAACTATAATAACATCATAATACTAAATAATACATACTTAGGAAAGCATTAAAGAAATATTGCTACTATAATAACAGCATAATTCAAAATGTTTTAAAACAATAAATTTTCTTTTTCATAAAAAACGTCATATATCAAAATAAACAAAGTGTTATGTTATTAGTTATTTTCAAGAAGAGCGTCCTAACACTAACTCGGTCATTCTAAATAAAATGTTTTATCATAAAATTTAACGTACCTTTTCAAGAATAACGTCTACTCATGAAATATGTCGTTCTTGATGATAATACACGCAACCGCCTCTACTGAACACTGCAGCACAACTGAAATTCGACGTTGTTGAAGCAAGCGGAAGGCGAGTACTGAGTGGAGTTAGAACGACACTGTCGCTCTCCTTTCACTACCGAAGGTAATTCTCATATGTCGTCCTAGCAGCAATAAAATATCACAAATGTTGATAATTTGTAACAAAAATCTCGTTAACCTCAAATTTTGAATTATGTCGTTCTTGTCGCAAATGAGCGATTTAAAAAAAATTTTCAAGCTTTCTGCACTAGCGGTTTTCCTACAAATGAACTGTATAAATATAATACATAATAAGCAATTATACTGTATAAGTAGAATTTTCTACAATGAATGTTGAACCTTAACGTTTTGTTTTAGGTATTTATCCTTAAAATGCGCCCTCTCGGATCCAGATGTAATAAGTAAAATGTTCGATTTGATATCAGCTACGTCTTACTGGTTATGTCAGGTTTCAGTGCACCAACATACCCCAGAATCAACTGCCTTCGCTCCATTGAAAGAATTACCAGTCACATTTCCATTAGATTCTAATGTACCTGATACTTTAAAGTAAGATAACCTTTATATTAGCTATAATTTTTTATTGGATTTGGTTGCTTCTTTACAATACATGTATATAATAATATACAGAGTAATAATCAACTATATTTTAAATTATGTACAAAAGTTCACCTAACTTAATGATATTTTGCTAATATTAGCAACTAAATTCTTTACTATCTCTGGCAGCTCTAAAAAAATATTGTAAAATGGTTGTAAATTATCATTTTATAATAATAATAATGACAACCTCAACTCTAATCTCCTTTTAGATGCATTCCAGAATTCATAGTTGAAAACATTGTATCATTCCTAATATTTGTGAGAAGATTTACTCCAAAAGACTTTGAGGAGCAAAGCTATGAAAAATTATGCCCCATTCTTACCTTTGTGTTAGTATTTATGGGTTCTAGACGACACATGAAGAATCCGCACGTTAGAGCTAGGTTAGCTGAGGCTTTGGAATCACTCTTACCTTACCATAAGCATGATACTCAGAGAAGTAATATAGGAAGTACTCAGAGGCTACGGTTGTTTAGGGAGCATCCTCATAAAGGAGAGGTAAGTTTAGTATCTGACAGACATCAGAGCATATTCGTAGCATGTGAATAAGCGTAATTAGTATCAAAAACAATAGCACTCAAGTTTATTTAACAAGGGGAATTGGCAATATATTAACGTTTAAGATAAACATATTTTAAAATTGTATAACCTGTATAAAATAAATTATACAGGTTTATGAAGGAAAATAATTTTTCCTTTGATAATTACATTGTGCAAAACAGGCTAATTTAACCCCTACCAACTCATTCACTTTACTTCTCCCCATTCCCCTCACTTACTCCATAAGAGTTCTCTTCTTTCTTCAGTATTATACACGGCGTTCATTTTTCAGTTAAATATAATATGGTATTACATGCAAGTGGTAAATTTAGAAACAGGGCTAATTTAACCCCTACCAACTCATTCACTTTACTTCTCCCCATTCCCCTCACTTACTCCATACGAGTTCTCTTCTTTCTTCAGTATTATACACGGCGTTCATTTTTCAGTTAAATATAATATGGTATTACATGCAAGTGGTAAATTTAGAAACACTGATTAGAGTATCCATGTCCTTACCTTAAAGAAAGTCTGTTCGTGTTGATTTTGATTCCATATGGCTTTGTCTTAAGTCTAAAATAGCTGGTCCGAGTAAACATTGAACAATGTTGGGGACAAAATGCAACCTTGTCTGACTCCTCGTTGTATGGAGATTTCGTCGGTATAATTGTCTCTAATTTTTAAGACATCAGTTTGATTCCCGTACAGTATATCCCCGTGTATTAATTTTACATGCTGAACTTTATCGAATGCCTTATCGAAGTAAATAAAGCATGCAAATATATGACAGGTATATAAGCAAAACCTACCAAGTCGCATTTTTTTGAAATCTGCGATTGATACGGGAATTTGTTCTTTATGTGTATATACATAAGTTCAAACATAATTTAGGTGCAAATTCCACCCTAAATCGGAGTAATTTAAACGAGAAAATACGTTTAAGATGCAAAACCCGCTTTGTCCAAAAAAATTTAATTGCAACGACCGCCAAGTCCGGCCTTGCTAATGGCGAAACGTTTGGGCTGACACGTGACTTAGTCGTTCCCGCGAAATGGCATGTGGCAGTTTCTAACCATGTAATGTTTTTAGTGTTGTTTGGATATTATTCAAAGTAGGTTTACATAAATTTCCTTTTGTTTTGTTGTAATGGATAACGATAATATTGGTATCTCTATAGAAAAAACGACTCCAGAATGTAGCCGGAAAAGAATCTTATAGCGTGATAAACACAAAAGGGTAGTCGCTATGAAAAATAGGTAAGCATAGAGAGCTAGATAATGTTTCAGTGCATCGAACTAATCATTTTTTTTGTTTTTAGATATTCGGCTAAAGGTTTGCTTGAAAAACCAAGATGTGTTCATAAAAATAACTTCTTGAAGTGCAATTTATTAACTATGAGGGATCTGCAATTTGTTCATAAAAGATTTTATGAAATTCCATCAAAACTTAAACAAGAACTCATATTCAAATGTTGTGAGGCTAAGACACCGCAGAGAAGAAGAGGACGAGCAGAGAGAGAAGTGGGCAGCACAATTTCTCAAAAACAGGTATCAATAAATTATCGATTACCAAAGAAGGTGGCGAATGGATTAGTGTATACAGAAGAGCCTTTATGCAAATTTTGGGCGTGAAAAAAGATAGAATTTAGGGTGTGGTAAAGAGGTTTTTTTAAGGGATTAACTTAATCAGAAAAACGAGGGGGCGACCGCGTTCTAGAAAAAAATGATCAAAAACGTTAGCTATGAGTAATTTTATTGAGAGTTTTAAATGTCTGGAATCTCATTACTGTAGAAGTCAAATCAAGAAACGAACTTATCTACCATGTGATCTTAATATAAGAAAGCTCTTTAAACTTTACGTCACATCAGTGGATAGCTCTCTTATGGTTAAGGAACATTATTTTTGTTCATATTTTGCAACGCACTATAATATAGGTTTTGAAACACCTATTAGAGACGCATGCTCTCGTTGCTTAAGATATAAGGAAGAGATAAGGAAAGGTAAAGATGAGGAGCAAAAAAAAAGAACTTAATATTTTACAGGAATTACATAAACTTAAATCAAAAGCATTTTACAAAATTCTTAAAACTGACAGCAGCGAGAGAGAAGTTTTTTTAATGGATTGTCAAAAAAAACCTAGCTCTTCCTAAATTACTTGATCCGAGAGCTTACTTCTCTTCCCAATATAATCTTTACAATTTTTTAATTGTAAATGGTACATCTAATATGAAACTTAACTCTGACACAGTTTCAGCTTATCTATGGACCGATTTAGATTTGCCAAAAAACTCAAGTGTTATGGCTTCAGCGTTGTTTCATAGATTATAAAAACATACATTTTCCAGAGATGTTAAAGAAATTTTGATTTGTGCAGATAATTGTCCAGGTCAAAATAAAAATATTACAATGATCGGCATGCTTGCAAGCTTTCTCCATAAAAAGGCGCCTAATAATAGTAGCTGTATTGAACTAATATTTCCAGTTGTAGGACACAGTTTTATGTCACCAGATAGTTTTTGGTATTTCCGAAGGCAAAATTAAAATAACAGAAATAACGAATCCAGAGAACTACATAGCTATAATAGAGCAATACGCCACAATCTATAAATTGGTTGAAGACTGGGACGCGTTTGATTGGAAAACTCAGTATCAGAAGTAATTAAACCACCAGGTTGCTTGGCACTTTCAATTTCAACAGTGCAAACGCTTTAGGATTTTGAAGCAAAATGATAATACAATTGAAATTCAGGGCGAAATCAACTATAATACTTCCATCGCTGTTCCAAAGGGTATTTGTAAAAGAGGAAAACATATTCGTTCAAATAATCCTTACAAATTTGAAGAGTAGAGTAGAGAAGCAGAGTAAGTGACAAAAAGAAGGCCCAGAGTGTTGCCAAACTATTAGAAACAAATTATGGAACTGATTGGCAAGAAAATTCCGACTTGAAGTTTTATAAAGATGCCATACATTTTTCTCTAAATAATGACGAGAGTGATCCACAACTATTGACAAATGAGTTATGTGAAGAATTTTCTCCAGTAGAAACAACTGGGATGTAAAATTTGTTGTGTTAAAAAAAGTTAATTTTTATGAGTTTACGTTATTTTCAATTTATAACAATAATTTTGCAAATATAAACCGATAAATATGTTTTAAGTAATAAGAATCTAATGTTTATAATAATTTATTAAGTTAAGTTAAAAAAAAACACGTTTTTCCGAAGTTTCCAATCCAAAGTTGCTAAATTGTGTTGCAAATCCCGCCATGTCCATAAATAAAACCAATTTTATACCGAAACAGCAGCTCAAATATTTTTTATTTTGTATTCTTCTAATAAAACATTATACTAGAATACAAGTATATCAAACAGAAAACTAAAAATATCACAGGAGTACTCTGTAACAGTTTTTCACGTTTCCTGAAAATTTTGATAGATGTGACTTGGCGGATTTTGCTTCTATACCCCTCATATCTTTTCTTTGATCACGGCAGTTTTGTAATAGGATATTTAGCACAAAAAGTGCCTCGCTAGTTCCCATAGTATTTCTAAAACCAAATTGGGTATCTTCGAGATCTTCTTTGCATTTGAGTCTAATCATCTTGTGGAGTATTCTTAGGAACATCTTAAGAGTGTGGCTCATTAGGCTAATTAATCGATATTCTGAGCATTTTCTAGCATTGTGTTTTTTAGGTATTATAACAAAAATGAACTCGAGCCAGTCTGCGGGAATCACTCCAGTGTTATATATTGCATTAAAAAGTTTTACTAGTATTTTTATGTTATTTTCATCTATTAGCCTCAACAACTCAGTTGGTGTACCATCTGGACCACAAGCTTTTCTAATTTTAGTATTTGTTAAAGCTTATTCTACCTCTGATTTCATAATTACTGGGTCGGCAGTACAATTTTGGGTAGGATTCGGTAATATTATTTTTGTCATCTTCAAACAACTCTGATATATACAGTTACCATTCTCTTCTTATTTCGTTCTCATTTACAATAATTTTGTTGTTATTGTGAACTAGTACAGAGGGAACTCGTTTTTTAAATATGTGGTTTATTTCTTTTAATTTTTTAACATTAAAAAAGTCGTGCCTAGATATCACATCCTCAATTTCCTCGTACTTTTCTCTCATCCATGTTTCTTAGGCTAATTTTAACTCTCTTATAATTCTTCTCTGTATATGTCTATATTCAGTTTCATTTTATTTTATAAGTCAACGTTATTCCATCAAATGACTTCTGTCATCCATTGATTTTTCTTGATTAAGTTACTTCTATAATCATTGTTTGTGGAGATTTTGTTAACTTGGTTTTTAAATTATTTCCTTATTTCCTCTAGTTCTTCTAGTTGTTCTCCGATATTATTTATTATAATGTTAAAATCTTTTTTAATGTTATCTTTTACGCTTATATCATCAAAATTAATTAGATTGGTTTTTAGTTTTTGTCGTTGGATTCGCTTTAAATTTAGTTTAATATCTACCACAAGGGGTTGATGATCCGATCTAATATCTGCTCCTGGAAATGTAGTGACTTTTTTGATGGCATTTTGGAAGCGCTCACTTACAAGTACATATTTGGTTTTTTGTAGACTCAGGGCTGCTGCCACCATCGAATCAAGCTTTTCAAGTACATAGTCATCATTTGTTTAGTTTACACCAGGTGTTTGCAATGACCATGTCGTTATCTTTAAAAAATTCATACAATCTCTATCCTCGATCGTTAGGTTGTCCAAGACCATAAGGACCTACAGTTTGACCTCGTCGACCTTCCCCAATTTTTGCATAGATTTAATATTTTGTTTAAACGCTTATAGATAAACATACATAATATAGTTTCCATAAAACGTCTATGGGATAAGGAGGCAAATTAGGAAAAGAGGAGAATTTAGGAATCATGATATGTACCTATTTAGTAGAATTTACGTCTTAATACAATCTACATACATTGATTGTTACATTTCTTGACATACAAGAAAAAAACAATAAAAATATACCCCTGACACATTGATAGATCATTTTAACACTTCACTGGTCAATGGATACTTATTCTACTATCTTCTTTAGCAGTTAACAAAAATAATAAAAATGACTTACAGTAATTTTGACCATACACTTTGATTCTTGACTATACGGGTTCATTTAACGACTAATACATGGATGGACTGCTTTTGCACCTAAAGTTGCCATAGAAAATAATGGAATTTAGGGAGATTTGTCATGTTTCATCATATTGACAACAAGAGATCAACCAGAAATTAAGAAAACTATAATAGTTTACACAAACTGCTATGGTTTCTCTTCTTTTACTTTCCAAAATCTCTAGCTATAGCTAGTTGGCTTTCCGACACTTAAACGGAAAGTGTCGTGGAAAGGATTCCAGCTGCGATGCGAGCTGTCTTGACTTTCAATTTTATACGGTCTATTTATTTAAAACGCAAAAAACTTCGACATTGTCTCGCCTATATTGATTAAAAACTGAGATATTATTTTTAAATCATGTGGGAAAGGGAGAATTCATGGATAAGAAAGAAATAGTGATTGGTTTGCTTAGGGGCATTTGTCAATGTAAATAAACAATTGGATTATATTTATTGTCTTTTAAAGATCTAAAACTCAAGTCGATATGTTAAATAAAAAGCTTATGAAATTTATATGATATATGATATACAGAGTGGACAAAAAAAATGCTAAAATCTTAATTGATAAAAAATTAATGAGAAAATCCCAGTAGTTGGCTGTATACCAGTTTAAAAACTTATACAGATATTGTTCTGAAGCTATTTTCTTGTGGCATTTTAAATAATTTACTATTTAACTGGGAATAAGCCACAATTAAAGATAAAAATACGTTTATCGTTTCAATTTCCACTTCGGAAATCGTTCTCCTATATAAATATTATATATAGTCAATAAACGTATTTTTATCTTTAATTGTGGCTTATTCCCAGTTAAATAGTAATTAACTTATACAGAAGTAAAAAAATTCAAAATTTGTAAATTGTTATAAAAACATTTAATTAAAATTTAAGTGGAGATGACAATGGTTGTAAATATTAATACTTAAAGAGCACCACGCTTCCTTGCTTGACTTGAACACGCGGTTCTTGTCAGTTAAAACGACATAGACCAACTGCTCTGTGTCCAGATTAAATTAAATGATTACTAATTCTATCGGTGTATTGATTTTTTATATATCATACTTTTGCCTTAATAATGAATGATTTTTCATTCATGATGAAATTTAATAGTTTATTTTTCTCCGTTGGATACAGACATTCTTCATATGAGTCGTCTGTTGTCATTTTTTTTTGAAAGCCATCACCAGCACTATTACAGATAAATACGGCTATAAATATTACAGATTTTAACAAAAACTTTCATTTTTTGATAATTAAATTATTATAATTACAAATTATTTTGATATTTTCTTTGCCTAATAAACATCTTATATTTTTTCAGATTGTAGAAAATTTGATGAACGTCTTTGTGGAAATAGAGATGACAGGTCAAAGTGTAGAGTTTGAGCAGAAATTCAACTACCGTAGACCCATGTATGCTGTTTTTGAATATTTATGGCAGATACCAGAGTATTTAGAAAGTATTAGGTAAGAAAAAAGTTATTTTTTTACTGCCGTCAGTATGTGAACTTTCTTGCACTTGTTTTTAGAAACTTTAGTTGAGCTTGTTTCTGAATTTTATTGCATCACTGCCAAAGACCTCTCTGTAACGGGATTTAATTAAACATCCAGAACTCAGATCTAAGTAACCCAATTCAGTTTAAAAATTTAAAATCCGCTTAATAATATTAATCATTGCTTATTGCTCAATGTTTTTGTTTGTATATCACATTGAAAATATCGGTGTAACTAGAACACGCTTACTGAGACGCTGACCTAAGGAAATTTGCAATGTAATCAAAAGCTTATTTGATATTGTGTATCCAGTTATATGAGTTAATCAACCCCAGGGGGTAAACTACCCCTAGAGTTCTACTATATGGAACTCCTGGTGGAAGCAATCTAATAAACATTATATGATTATCCAATATTATTATATCTCCTATATATGTTACAAAAGTAACAAAAAGTTAGTTTATATTTTGAATTTTCTGGGGGAGTATCTAACCATCCACAAGAAGGAAGGCTTATTCCAAAACTTGCTCTAATTACGATTTTTTTATTTATATATCATTTTTATTAATATTCCATAATTTTAAATGATATTTTGTAGAAAACTCGCTCAAGATGCCGAGAAGAATATGGAAGCTGTTAATCCTCCGTTATTTTTAAAATTCGCAAATTTACTAATAAACGATGCCATTTTCTTACTTGACGAAGCCTTAGCCAATATGGCGAAATTAAAGGAAATGCAACAGCAACAGTAAGTATTCAGTACTACATTATTTATCGGGGATATAAACTTATTGGAACGAAAGTAAATTTAGTTCAGTTTCAAGTTGTAATAATAGATTATGAAGTCAACAAAATCGTTTATAAATTTCTTGTGTTTGATATATTTGCTGCAAATAGCAAAAATACTTGTTTAGTTTTTATATTTTATATTCATATAATTTTATACCTAATGTATTATATCCAAATTTGGAGAACTACAAAACTTTTTCTATTTTTAGAGAAGTTGAGAAATATACCTAGAGCTTGTTTATTTGGGGAATAATGCTGTTAAAATATTTCCGTGTCATATCAACTCTTTATAAATAACATCAAATCTCAAATAAACGTCGGACTGTTTTCTTGATTTTATTGACAGATTGTGTTATTTATCTCAACTTGTTCTATACAATGAAAATATGTTATTTTTAATATAGATAAGATATTTTTTCCATGTATGAAATAGAGACAAAACAAGCACATTAATCTATAAAATCAATTCCGCAGAAGCTCAGCCGATTAGACAGAAGTTAAAGAAATTATTAAGTATTTGGGCAAACAAGGGGTCATTGACCGATCAAATAGTTCTTCTCATCTAGAATAAACGATACATTGGATACTTTCTCCGGGTCCGGTTGGTTCGCCACACTAAACCTAAAAAGTTAATACTGGTAAGCATTAATGGAGGAGTCAGCTGAAGATCAGGCCTTTGACAATATACAGTTATGCCTGCTGGTCTATCTAATGCTGTTGCTACATTTGAGAAATATGTACAGTTTATTTGTATAAAATAACTGTGGTTGTAAGATTATTCGACAAGCAAGAAGTTAGTTTATGAGACCATCTTTTATCCAGTTATGGCTGACTCTGCAAAAGTAAAAGTAATTCCAGAATGGCCAAAAGATATAAAACCACTAACTAACCAACAAACCAAATGATAAATACGAAATTAGAAGTTTTTTCGTTATGCAAATATTACCGACGATTGTCAAAGGATTTGCCAATATCGCTCAACCCTTAACAAAGCTCATCGAAAAGGACAAAAAATATAAATAATAAGTTTCAAAAAGTTTTAGAGCTGCAAAGAGTTCTATCAAAAGCTGGGTTTGCATGGATTTCGTTACTTTTTACCATTTCTTTTCTCTACATTTTTCTCCTGTCTCTTGGGAATTTCATCTTCTCGGGAAGAGTTAAATTCCGCCGATTTTTTGTGGTCATCCGAGATATTCTGTTCTATAGACATCAGATTCATTGATCTCAAAATCGGGTTCCTCATCTGTGTCGTCAATAACTGATTCACTACTACTTGAAATGTCGTCCTGTGATTTTTTATTTAACCTACACAATCGTAATTTTATAGCACCGTCAGCTCTATTATCAGAAAGACTTCTCCACGGAGAACATCCAGGACCCGTGTATTTAGAAGAAGGTACATGTGCAGTGGTTGTATTGTCATCATCAGCAATATCCTTAGGGTTTTCAACTTCCAATTTACATTGTCGTCTTTTCTTGCTATCTTTGGTGGGACATATTCTATAACATTTGAGCTGTTTTCATTAACAGTTTTACGTTTTAGGCAGTCATTATCTAATTTCTTAAGCGCAGCTTCTACCATTGACCCTCCAGATCTACTACGAGTCATAGTAAATCTGGAATTTAAAAAAGCCATGAAAATATGCTAATAATTTTGCTATAAATAGCAACAACTCAAAATAGTACATAGTAAAGTACAGGTAAGAATGCCGACAAAGAAAGAATAGTTAACTCTTTGTATTATAAAGAATAGTTACTTAACTACAAATACGATAACCATACATTCGATTTTTAGTTACTTTCAATCTTTAACAATGTCATAACTCTAAAGGTTGATTCAGACACATCAGTGCCGTTACAGTCTCGGCGCTGAACCGGTCCTGTTTGGTCACAGAACTATTAATTATTTGACAGCTGGGAAACTGTTCGTCGCCTGATGAATGTGAATGCCGTCGCCAAGAATATTTTGTATGACGGATTGTTCGGTTCGGCGCCAGGACTGTGACGAGACGTGACTGATGTGTCTGAATCGACCTTTAATGTGTCGTTATTCTCAGAATGTTTTAACACAACCTCTCAGACCCAAGTCAGAAGTATCACTGTTCAAGATGGACTGAAGTACAAATCTACTATATTGTCACTTCTGACCTCTAGCGGCGAATTTTTTAACTACAGAAGCATCACTATTCATGGCATGTAGAGCACAAATTTTTGGTTCTGAGAGTTGTAATATCTCAAAAACGCTAAATTTTGAGTTTTGACATTATTCTTGGAAATGTGTGATGTTTTTTATTTACAATGAAGAGACGTACGATAGATAGCATACCTCGATGTATACTATGGAAAACTTTATGTATTCTTGGCGTAGACAAACAAATACTTAATACGTTGAGAACTACGTGAGATCCGGTAGATGCCACACAAATTGTTGTCAGATGTTTCTTATATATAACTCTATAACGACCAAAAACATTTACTGTCTACTAAATAAATGCAGAAGAAATTGTGGAAGTGTGGGAATAACGATAGGAGAACACCGATTATACACTTTTAACTTTGCGGATAATCAGTGTTGTGAGACAGTACGCCTTAAATCTATAATTAATAATTAAAAGACTCTTTGACCAATATCAAAAGTAATATTTAAAGTAAATCTCAGAAAAACTGAATATTTTCGAGGCAAACGAGTTCAAATATTTGGGTGTAATCAACAATGCAACAATTACGATTATATCCTATTAAAACGGACTATCTGAGAAACAGTGTGAAAGTTTTGAGACTTGATATTGATGTAATAAACGAAGATATTGTAACACATCAAATGATGGACAGTGTTTGAGGCATAAAAAATGAACGAGGCCGCGTTGCTCAGAGTCAGAATAGATGTGGGAATGGTTCGTAAGACACTTTCACTAGTACACAAATATAAATAAAATTTGCCAAAAAGGAGGCCATTTTCTTTTCTGCGAGTAACAAAGAAAACTCTTAATAAACCAAAATACATAGATCTGTAAACAAATAACAAGAAACAAATACATATATGGTTGAATGCTCTTATATATGAACTTTACTCAAATAAAAGGCAGATAGCAAGCACAGTTTTTTGGTAAATCTTGCCCAAGTACTTTCGCTCTCAAAGAATCTTCAGGAGCATTGAGTTTAAAATTATTTCGAAGCTACATTATGGGCAACAGCACGAGAGAGAATGTATTCCCATAATTAGGCCGTAATTATATCATGATATGTATATCATCATATGTATTTTTCTCGTTTTAAAAGTCCAAAGTAGTCAAAAAATTTAGAGGAACTAGCCATTAAAAGAGACTGTAACACTGTACTGACACTAAGTACATGAAATGCTGAAGAAAAATATAAATTATAACAGGTGTTTTCCTCCCTGCATAGATCACCATAATTGAAATATTAAGCGTAACCATGGAATATGCAATTGCAAGATACATAAAAAGGTAAAAACTTAACTGACTTGTGGGCTTGTTAAAATATACCCCCTGGAATTAAAGATAACCCATTTTGCACTAACTGAATCTTTACTTCTCGTCGCTGGGTCGCTACATATTTTATTCACTACAAAAAGATACAATTATTGATCTCCAAATATAAAATGTTTTCAAACACTCAAACATCGCCCATAATTGCCTATCTGGCGTACCGCTAGATCCTCTTCCTGTTCAAGATCTCAAGCGGAATAAAAGAAAAAAATCGTGTCTGCGATGATAATTCACATAACCGTGGATCTCTAGCCGCATTGGCTTTTTTTTCAATGCAAACAAATGATCTGGTCTTGTTTATTCTAATCGATACTTTCAAGACGCAATTATATATTAACACTGTCTAAACAAACACTTCTTATATTATTTTCGTTCGAAATTCTAAAACGCAAATTAAAACCTTATACAGAATGGAATTTGAAATTGTGAATTAAAACTTTATAAAATTTTTGGATGGTTACAATATTAGAAGCTGAAAAGAGATTTATTTTGGTCACCTATTACGAATGTCGGAAGGAACAAGAATAGCCAACAAGAATGTTGCTAGAAATAAGTGAGGTAAGTCGCGAAAGTGTTGAAACAAGAAAATAAGACGCCCAATGATATCCTTTTATATGAACATTTTAATCAAGAGACATATCAGTAGGAATACCATAATCAACTGTTTACCTTTATCTGATATTTGTTATTAGTTGTCATGTGGTTTAGTTATTACACTTTGATGTTGATGATTATATGATTTTACTTTTATTTTTTTCTAGAGAGAGTGAAGAATGGGCAAATATGAATCAAAGAGATAGGACCCAAAACATTTCATATATGCATCACATCGGCAATCTAGCTCGCTTCGATAACATTTTAGGCAAGGATACTATAGGAATGCTAGAAAAATTAACTTCGAAAATTAATCTAGTCTTTACCCACACGACGATGGTCGACAGGATAGCCGCTATGTTAAATTATTTCTTACTTAACCTTGTTGGACCAAATAAAAAGAACTTTAAGGTAACAATTGTACTAATTAATAAAATTTTTTTCTAGATTTTCTACAGAGAAATAAAAAAGATCTGAGAGAAATAAGTAAGAGGGATAGTAAATACAATTCACGTTTCACCTCTGCATCCGTAGACTACTTGAGTATCCGTAATAAATAGCTTGTCTTGTTCTTTAGAAACTACTCATATATAGTGAAACGTTGAGGTGAACACACATACGGGTCGTTTAAACATTATTAGGCAGTTTTTTAGTAATTGTTTCATGATACATTTTTGTAGGTGAAGGATGCCAAAGAATACCATTTCGATCCTGCGGATACGGTTCTAGAAATATGTAAGATATATGTCAACCTGAAGGAAAGCGCTGCTTTTTGCCTAGCTGTTTCTCAAGATGGTCGGTCTTATAGCCCTAGTCTTTTCTCATTAGCAGAAGATGTTCTGGTTAGAATAGGTGGTGGACCGTTGATAGGAGAACTGAAAGAAGTTGCATCCAAGGTTGCTGAAAAAGCAACTGAATACAAAGCGAACGAGGAGGTTTTGGCAGAGGCACCTGAACATTTTTTGGATCCTATTATGTCTACGTTAATGGTTGATCCTGTTATTTTACCGAGTTCAAAACAAATTGTGGATAGAAGTACCATTGCTCGGTAAGTTTTTTCTCCTCGGTGTAGAACTATATCAAGTATTAATAAAAAGTTATCTACAGTAAATTCACGTACCCAGTATTTTACGCGGAAATATTTGTTTTCCTAGCAGTTTTACCTTTTTTGCTCAACATTAAACATATATCCATGCTACCATTGTATTAATTTTTTCTTTATAGTAAAATGCTGAGGCTAGCGTCAAGGAACTAGCGCCACAAGATGGCGTCATCACGGGTAGCGTCATAAAATAGCAGTTTTTCATAAAATCGATTTACTATTCTCGATCACTTCGTTTCTAGTCATCATATATTTAGTCTAAACAGGTTTAAATGCTAATCTTCTTTCTTCTAAATTCTATTAAATTCTAAGGTTTAAATTAAAAACTGCGTGAAAAATAACTAACAAAATACAGACATTAAATGAGAAGTAAAAAATTAAAAGAATATTTGCCAATAAAACATTGGATTCGTAACTATTGTCAAAATTTAAAAGTCATAAATGTCATCAGAATGATAACAATTTTGATCCGCTGTTTAAATTTTTAACACAATTTTCGTTTTAAAATAATTTCATATAAATACAATTAATATTTTTAAACCTTTTATTTAGTTTACGTAATAATTATTTTTACTGTGAAATGATATTGATTTATATCTTATTTTATTATTATAATTTAATATTTCGTTTGAATTTGACAGGTCTGTCAAAAGTAAACAACCAATGTTTTGTTAATATCTCAACAAGTGGCGTTAGGGGCAAACATAATAATTCATTGAATTATTTGAATATGATAATTTGTTTTAAAAATATTATACATAGCATAAAGCTTCGCGCTAGTCTACTGTATTGCCTACTGTTTTTTCGGTATATATCTGATTTATTTTACTGCCATTTGTTACGTACGTTTCCAAACACGCTTCACGCAAGTTCATAACGGCTTATCAACGCATTCATTTGAATCGTCGAAATGTTGAACTGGCATATGCAGTTTGGGAAACACGAAAAAGTCCTAGGGTGTTACGTCAAGACTCTACATATCGTCACCTGAGAATTACGTTGAACCATGTCCCAAAAGCTGGAGGCATTTGAGATGTGGGCGTACCGAAGAATGTTTAAAATCTCCTGGAAGGATAAGATAACTAAGCAAGTTGTATTAGACAGGATGAACAAACAAAAGGAGGTCGTATTGAGTGTTAAAATGAGGAAACTACAATACCTGGGACATATTACACGTGGGAATAAATATCAACTGTTACAACTAATTATGCAAGGAAAGATTGAAGGTAGGCGCAGCATAGGTAGGAGAAGAATGTTATGGTTGAGAAACCTCAGGGAGTGGTTTGCTTGCACTTCCATACAATTGTTCCGAGCGGCAGCCTCCAGGGTCAAAATTGCCATGATGATAGCCAACCTTCGTAGCGGAGATGGCACGTGAAGAAGAAGAATGTCCCAAAATGTTAAATGCGTAGAATTTGAATTGGAAGGTCAATGAACTGTTATTTATTTCGTGTAAGGGACCTCTTACTTTGCTCAGATTACCCGTAAAGGAAGTTTTATAGCTAATATACATTCTAGAATGAACTTCAATAAATTTAACTTTTGTGTATGGTATCTTATTGTATGCTAATTTCTTTGCCAATATCTGAAAAGTTAAAAAATCTGTCTGCTTCATTTGCAATACAATCATTTTTTTTAATGACTTGCAATCTACACTAGGGTTGTGAGCAATGACACCGGAGTGTATAATTCTTAATAGCGCATTTTTCTCACAAGCAAGCTATGTACAGCATCTCCTTCTTGTAAATTGCTGTACCCGGGCTCTAAAAATTTTTGTTGGATCAACTGTATTTGAGGATGTTTCTTGATAAAATGCTGCAATCCAAAAGTCATGATGCTATTCCTATTTTGGGGGATACAGGAATCCGACCAAATTACCAATTTTGTTAACTTTTGTCAACTAACTATCTTGTTAACTTAATAAATTACTAATTTGCAGCAGTCTTAGAAGACTGCTGCAAATGTGATTTCCAGTTCTTTCGGATATCATTTCATGCCATACTCCGCAGTATGTCTTCGTATTCTTTGAACAATATCCCGTTAAGTTGTAAACACTGAATTTACGTTTATAAAAAAAATGATATAGTCAATTCGCTTAGCTCGGGCATATTTCGACAGATTCATTGTCGGAAACCTACAACACAACAATTCCTACTTCTCAGTATTAATAGCTCAAGTATACTACGATTGCAGACTTCTTCCTTTGAAAAAAAAAAGAATTATTTTAAATAGTGGAAGTGTCTAAACTCATCACATTTTGGGCAGTATTATATTTAAAAAATATATTTTAGTTGTTATAATTTAACATAACTATTTATTATATGGTGCAGGAAATAAATATTGATTGTCGGTAATTCACAAAGTTTTATTTTATTTACTATTTAATTTGTTTACTATTAATATTGGCTATGAGTAAAAAGGAGACCAAAAAAGTGGCCTCTGATGGCGGATATATCCGGAAATGCGAATGCGCCAAATTTATATTTTCCGACACTTATTAACAGTAGCTATAAAATAGATTTTAGAATGTGTCTTAGACGAGAAAGTTTTAATTAAATATTAACGATAACTGTCTAAAATGTTCAAACATAAAAAGTTCAAACATAAAATGTTCAAAGTTCAACATAAAAAGCTTGTAGATATATTGAAAAGCAAAAATATTGACAGTCGTGATCTGAAAATTATATCTAATTTATATTGGAATCAAACTGCCAAGGTAAGAGTTGACAGCCAGTACACCGAAAATATCAAAATACAGAGAGGAGTCCGCCAGGGTTGAGTGCTGTCCCCACTACTTTTCAATGTCTACAGTGAAGCGGTATTTCAAGAAGCGCTCTCAGACTCAATAGAAGGTATATCTATCAATGGAGAAGTTTTGAATAGCTTACGTTTTGCAGACGATACAGTAATAATTACGGATAACAACAATGATTTACAGAACGTAATGCAACGCCTTAATGAACGCTATCATGAGTACGGACTGAAGATAAATTTAAAGAAAACTAAATGCATGATCATGACTAAATCTGCACATGCAAATATCCAATTGACTATTGAAGATACTGCAATTGAGAGTTAATAACTATAAATACTTAGGAACATGGATAACATCAGATGTAGACCAAACCAAAGAAATTAAGACACGTATTGAAATAGCACGTACATCATTTATTAAACTTAAGTTTCTTTGTTGTCGGGATATAAGGTTAGAACTACGCCTGAGAATGCTTCGATGTTACGTGTTCTCTACTCTTCTATATGGTCTGGAAGCTTGGACACTAAAACAAGTTCATCTGAATAAGATAGCCGCCTTTGAATTTTGGTGTTACAGAAGAATCCTACGAATATCATGGATTCAAAGAATGTCAAACATGGAAGTAACTAGAAGGATAGGAAATGAAGCGGAAATAATATTAACTATTAAAAGACGAAAACTTGAGTACTTGGGACATGTGATGGGAGGGCAAAAATACGCATTATTACAACTTATTATGCAGGGCAAAATCCGAGGAAAGCGAAATGTGGGAAGACGAAGAATATCCTGGCTTAAGGACTTAAGGGAATGGTTTGAATGCAGTAGTGCAGAACTTTTTAGAGCGGCAGTCAACAGAGTCCGCATAGCCATGATGATTTCCAACCTTCGATAGAAGATGGAACTTAAGGAAGAAGAAGTCTAAAATGTGACACAATTGTTAAAAAACTTCAATATAAATAAGATTTCATGTGACAGTTGGAACAAACAATAACATAACCCTAACTAAATTTAATTTCTTAAACAAGGAAAGACTTTCTTTTCATGTTTAATGTGGCCTCTCAAGATAGCACTTCCTGTCTAACAATACTTTTGCCCCCACTACCTTTACATTTCCTCTTTTGTCTTTTTGCTCGATGGATATGCGCTAACTAAACTCGTTTCCCTCAAAAAAACAAAAAAACTCTTACCTCTGATTACTTTCGGCATCTGCAGTAACATCATGTAACAAATTATCTGACAGCATGTCATCGTCATGAATGTGCTAATCTAAATTAAACAGAAGTTTATCAACGTCTGGCCTATAAGTTTGATCCTCTATATCGCTTAGATCACTTAACTCTTCAAGTAGACTAAAAAATAAAGGTTATGTTGTATTTTTAATACTCAATCAACATCATTTCTAAAATCAAACAACACTAACAACTACTATTTAATCATTATCTTACGTCAACTGTGATAGATTCATATTAAGAACTGTTTTTACAATTTTTAAAACCTTAAACGCCTTTAAAATGTAGATTAAAATATCATTCACTAACGAACACGTTCGTTGTTTTGTTTAAATTTTGACTACGTTGGAATCATGCTAGAATGCAATATTCGATTATTATTATTATTGTGTACCATGCCCTATGACACATGTTAAAATAGCCCTTTATCATTGGCTGTGAACTTGATACAGAATAATTCTCAAAAGTAGTACACTTTGGGACTTGATTTAATACAATTATTCGATTTTGTCAATAAAAGACTTTCATTGGGTACATCTGAGAGCTGAACGTGGTACATTTTAATACTGGATGGAATGGAAACTCACATTTTCAAAAAAGAGGACTTGGTTCAACATAATTCTCAGGTGACGATATATTGATGGAGTTGTTTTGCTAATAATTGTTGCACACGGTTTGATGTGCAACAGACTCAACTGCTACAATTTGGTTATCTAAAAGAAGAACTCGGCATCAAGAATATACATATATTAATGGATTAATAGAAGGCAAAAGATTAAAAGAAATGGATCAAAGAAGAGACATCTACCATTATATGTATTACGTAAACACAATAAAAAATCGGAATTTGATAACATTCTGAGAGTACAAACATCGCACTCAAATTTTTTCAACTAAAATCATGACTATTTGACTAAAAGATCAAGGCCAAGCCAGGAACATACAACGACAAGGAAAAAGGAATAAACAACGACATATTATAACAACTCCTTATTTTGAAACATTACAAACAAACGTGAAATGTAATTTTTATAACATTCAATTGTGGTTTTGTAAAATAATGGGTAATGAGAGCGTTATGTGAAGGTAAGGAAAACGCTGTCACGAAATGAAATACACAATAGATCCTCAAGGGATGCTAACCCTGCGAGCGGCTGCAAGGAATACTGGTCACACTGGTCTGGAGGGCTGGCTCGTCTTCGTGGATTTACGAGAAGATAAGGATTTCGGGATAGGGGTAAGGACTCCTAGGTCTCAGGTCCTGTGAAGAGCAGAGGTTATGGGCTTACTTTTGAAGCCGGAGATATGCATACGCAGAATCTCGTGTTCTCCTAGTCTCTAGTGAGTCGGACGAAAGGAACATTAAAAAAAACCAAATTAGAGTCAACAATATATTGAATCTACCCTGAAGTACTAATACAATCGTTAACACGTTATTCTGCGCGTCGGGAGACGATGTAGCAAGATAGTGAAGAGTTGACAGTGGTACTAATATAATTACACAGGTTAGTATAAGAACTCTGTTACCTTATGTGTATATTAGGGCTTCAACCACGACACGTTCAGTCGTCTGGAACTCGGTCAGTTGAGGGTTGCGAACTTTCGAGCTGCCACAATAACCGGACTACACGCGAACTCTGCCAGATGATACCCGGCCCCCGGAGAATCACCGATTGTCTCGCGTACTGTTCGCGTACTGGACGCTGTCGCGTCCCAGTCACGGTGGCCCGCTATTACTGACTGCCCATTACTAGCTACTCGTACCCGACGCTACCGCGTCGAGAGTAGCCGGGGCGGCAATTGATGCCTGGACGCCCGCCGTCTCACTACTACTGACTGACTACTGACTACTGACTTGGCTGTCCCCGTTTTCTAGTTTTTATCGAATGGTGTCCTCATTGACCGGTTATAGTCCAAGGTTGTGTTTTCGTTGAATTGTGGGTCCTATATTGCATCACAATAACAGTTTTTTGTTTGACGTGCTTTTCTATGTTTAAACAATTAACAAACAATGCAATAACTAGGTCAATTTATTTGTAGGATTTAAAAATGAAAATTTTACTGTAATAATTATCCCTTATTTGATTTGGATATATATAATAATTATCTCGAATAATTATTATCTTTTCTATGCTACTTAACCATTTAATTCAACTTCTCACTCACTTGCTACGCTTACATTACAGTTTAATCCCATGTAAATAGGTACATTTAACTTTAACATACAACAAGAAAATAGTCTTTTTAAAGTTAAATGTTCTTCTACATTTTAAAGAACTTCTACATTTATATTTAACTTTTCGATGTTTTTCGATTGTCTAAATGTTTTTATCATTTCTTTTAGCCACCTACTTAGCGATCAAACGGATCCATTCAACAGATCGCCTTTATCTATGGATCAAGTGATACCAAACACGGAATTAGCCCAAGAAATTAGAAATTGGATAGACGAGAGGAAGAGAAAAGCAGCGAATCAATAGTAGGGAGAATTTTAGATGGTTATCAGGAAATTTTCCGAATTTTTAAAAATATTTTTATGAATGTTCAATAGAATTTTTCTACATGTGTATAAATGTTATATGTTTTTATTTATTATAATAAATTATTCAGGGGTTTTTCTTTCTTTTTCACACATAAATGAAAATGTAAGATTTTTTTACAAAGTACCTTTCTGAAAATTAATTGAAGCTATTGGAAGGTTTAATAACTTAAATATTTTCAGTTATAAATACATATGGAATTTCTCATTCAAATGTTGCAATAAATGCATTAAAATGCTTATTTTTAAAATTTAAAAATTAGAATTCTTTAAATATTTTTGTGTTTTTTTTAGTGTCTCAATGGTGGGGTTGGTGGCAGGGGATATGAAAAAAAAACGGTAATTTATCAAAAACATATGTTATTGAAGATGTGCATTAATTTACACTAAACTTAACATATTAACGAATACCATTTTACCATACATTCTATATGTAATTCCACATTACATTTGATGCATTGTTTTCTTACATTATTCTTATATATGCACATTTTCTCTGTTTTCCTTCGTGGATACTTTCCAAAAAAATGACCAATACTGTCTTTCCTAACTGCCTGTGGGACACGTTTTTGAAATAAGTTTTGCAATGAGAGAGCCATAAACCTATAGACATATAGCCATAAACAAGACAGAAACGATACAGGAACAAAAATATAACATCAGAAGCCTAGATGAAGAAAGTACCCAAGACTTATTCAAAAATAGATTTGAAAACAGAAAAAAGAAAAACTCTGCTTGTTTAAAGAAAAACAAGCAGAAGTACGAAGGAAATCTCTAAAAAGAAGAACGAGTCTTAAGAAAAACAAGCAGAAGTACGAAGGAAAATCTCTAAGAAGAAGAACGAGTCTTGAGAAAGAAACTGCCAACAAATAAATATTTATCTAGGTGGAACCAGAAGCACAGAAAGCTGGAAACTGATAAAAAAATTGGAAAAAAAAAAGAATAAAGAAGTAATACAGAGCATAAAACCTGTAGATTGTAAAGAGTATTTCAAAGAATTTTTGGTAGAGTATAGTCGAATTTCAAGAACATAGAAATCAAAAACAAGATAGAATTTCAATAGTCGGCTCGCCAATAAGATTAACAACAGAGGAAATTAAAAATGTATGTAAACAACTGAAGAGGAACAAACCACCCGGACCAGGGGATATACCCTTAGAATTGTTTAAGAGCGTAGGCGCAAAATTTCGAGCCGATGCTTTTTAAATGCATTTATTTTTTTCGAATCCTGAGAAAACTAACAAATATTTTTGAAACATTTAAACGCAGAATGAAAGATTACATTATTACCAAGGGCCGAAAGTCCCTTAGAATAAACAAAAAGTTTTTTTGAATGAGATATTTGAAATTAAAAATCACACTAAATTTTCTCTTTTTTTCACCCCTGTAATTTATTAAAATAAACATTATGGAAGTTTTCAGGGACTTTCTCAGGATTCGAAAAAAATGAATGCATTTAGTAAGAAACGAACAAATTTAACGAATGTCTTCGACAACTATTTTAAGAATGCATAAACACAAGCGAAATCCCTACGGAATGGAAGATATACCTCAGTAATATAATAAATAAAAAGGGTGATACAAATAATTGTGAAAATTACCGAGGAATATATATAACCCGATCTATGAGTCGAATATATGGAAATGTTTTAAAGAACCGAATCGAAAGAGAATACTTAGATTATGAAGCAGAAGAACAAGCAGGACTATTGACCTCATTTTTTCCTTAACCCACCTAATAGAAAAAAGATGGCACGGAATCAAGAGATCCATAGGAAAGAAAGGCACTGGCAACGCTGAAAGCGACGGAAATGGATTTTTGGATAAGAGCCGCAGGAAGATCTAGAAGAGAAACGATTACCAATGAACGCATTAGAGAAATAATGGGAATCAAACGAACAATCACAGATGACCTAACAACAAAACAACTTATCTGGTTCAGACACATACGAAGAATGGATAAACAACGAATACCAAAAGAAATAATAAAAAAAGAAGTTAAATCTTTGTAAGTGGGTATATTTAAAAACCCTTAAAAGGGCTACATCAAATTAACAAACGTTTTCGGAATAATAATTCCATCATCAGGTTAAAAGCAGGTTAACATGCCTGAGCCACCAAAATGTTAGGACAAAAACCCTTTAAAGTAAATAAGGTTACCAAAGATTGTACATATTGTTGTTAAAAATTATTGATGTTTAATATTTTATTATATTTTACTTCAGGTAACATACATCCATGCCTTCCACCCAATCAGTTACCAGCTGAAGTCCGTTTGAACAAGTCTACTCTTCGGACGCTGGTACTCACGTAAGGCAAGGGTGTATGTTACCTGAAGTAAAATATAAAAAAATATTAAACATTAATAATTTTAACAACAATATGTACATGGCTCAGGCATGTTAACCTGCTTTTAACCTGATGATGGAATTATTATTCCGAAAACGTTTGTTAATTTGATGTAACCCTTTTAAGGGTTTTTAAATATAGCCACTTACAAAGATTTAACCTCTTTTTTTGTGATATATGGTATACAGCCAGCTGCAGGAATTTAATTTCCGTGTGGATTTTTTAAATAATACAATGACCGAGAAAAAGTTGGAGCGAAGGAATAAATAAAGAACTGAGAGAGAGGGCCATAGAAGAAGACCTACGGAACAACCGGACCAAGTGGCGATCGGAAGTCGGAAAACGGCGGAGAACGTTATAAACCGACAAGTAGTAGTAGTAGTTTGCAGTGAGAGTCGGCCAAGATTTACTTTGTCTAATGGACTCATCCCTTGGTGGTTGGACAACATTCTGACATATATTTATTGTCTTTCCATATGACACCAAACACTTAATTTTTAGTATCAAATATACAATTTATGACACCTCGGTCTTTCTTCTTTAAGTTCGTGTCTGATTTCAGCTTAAAATTGTCCAGTCTGTTAGATCTCACTGTGCCGGTGGCTGCTATTTTTTTTATCCGTTAAAATCTTCATCAAGTTAAAACTTATGAAAAAAATGTCAAAATAGAAGACGTGCTTTGGGGGTTCTTCGATAACAGATATATTATTCAGTACCACAGATGCTCCTAAACCTTGGACTTCATGCACATCACTCCTTTTTCCAGTGTATAATTCGATATGAAAACAATACCCACTTTCCGCGCAACACATTGTATACTGTTTGAAGCCAAACCAAATAAATTTTTTAAAATAATAATGCCCATAGTATCGGACCATCTGTTCATCAATACTTTTATTTTTTGAAAATATGCCAAATTTCATATATTGTTGATTTATTTTAGAAATCAACAGACTAATTTTAAAATCTGTTTTACGTGACTTTTTATTTAGACAAGCATTATTATTGAAATGTAAATTTCTTTTTATTTCTAAATACCTGCTTCTTGATCAAAAATTGTCTTATACTGTCTATACATAAATCCTCATCTTCACACCAATACATTTGTTCTTGTGAGGTAACGAATGATAACCGGAAAGCATAAAAAATCCCAAAACTTTTTTAGACAATCCACTGAGAACCTAAAGTCATGTCTGTTATTTTGTCCAGCATATGGGACAGATTGTTTTACTATATGACACATAATGTCGTCATCAAATAGCATCTCGAACACCTCTAGAGTTTTTCACTTTAGCGACTGCCTTATTTGTTTTTTAGCTTGTACAATATCCGTATCATCTCCAAAGTTTTTTATAAAAAATGACCTACATTCTTGCCAACCTGAATTTGGTTTTAGTTTCCGGGCTTCAGTGTTCTTTTGGCGCTTCTGTGGGATTTCGTTTTGAGTGTTATAAGGAGTCTCATTAGGTGTCTCGTTTAGCGGTGATAATGATTCAGTAATCAAGTTCAGGAACATCTTTAGGGCACGTGCCTTCTAGTATGTCGTCATCTATTTCTTCATCTTCTGTTACACATCATCGACGTTATCGGGTAGCAATTGAACAATATCAATTTCATCATCTTCATCGGCATCCAAAAAATGGGGGTCATTTATAATATCCTCTAATTCAGCCAATGTATAAAATTGCCTGATACCCATTTCTGAAAACAATAAATAAACTTCTGCAAAAACCGTTCATTGAAACCTATTATGATATTATTTATAGTCAACATTATTAGAGCATAAAGATACTAAAATAAAAATATTACAGATTGTGCTACGATAAAAAATACATTATTCATGAGCCGCAAATGGGTATCGAGCTAAAAATCCTAGTACAGTCCTGTGTGTTAGTTAGTAATTTAAATTTGAAAATTTAATAACTCGCTAATATAACCTACAACTAAATAATATACATGCCTAAAATTAATTTAAATTTTAAATTATCTATATATATTTTAAATTTATCTAAACTAACTCTTAAATTTTAAATCAAATACTTACAAAATAGTCCTATTTCTCTAAACAACTTGACCATACAATTTCTTTTTTGTGCTTTGTTTATTCGGAAAGTTATGGACAATGAGTAAAATACCTTCACTTATTATACCTAAATACAAGTATTATCGTTGACACAAAGCCATTTACCTTGAAATTTATGATAACTGCTACCAACTGATATAAAAAACAACTTGATCCCCAAATGAGGATCGTGGCAAGGAATGGGTTAATATAGGCCCTAAAATTATTGTTAGTGAGACAAAACTTATTTTTTTTATTAGAGCGTTTACTGTAATAATATTAAAATTTTTATTTTTCCGCCAATAATGTTGAATCAAAGCTTACCTCCATAAGATAAATCAGAGAGGGAAGTTGGTCTGATTGTAAATCTTCTCGCTGGTAAATCAATGACAGTCGTTTCACAAGCTCCAGAAAAAGTATTTCTGTAGTACATGCCTTTCCGTTGTTTTGGTAAACTTAATTTCTCTTAATAGAATGGTCTCATTTCGATGACAAGTTTCTTTACAGGTAAGATTAAGATGTTCACTTCCGCCAAAACCTGTGAGCTATTTCTTTAACGATGAAGGGAGATGGTCTTTGTCTACAATCTCTTATGCGTAGGGTCCAACCATAAGGCAG